AACTTATCTTTATTTGTCATTGTGACACAGCACAGCACACCATGCACAACGAAATTTAACCTCTGCATTTAACCCATCACCAAAGTGAACAGTGGGCAGCCGTGGTCAGCGCCCGGGGAGCAGTGCTTGAGGACGATGCCATGCTCAGTGCATCTCAGTGGTAACCTGGCAGTTGGTGGATTCGAACCTGGGACCGAAGTCCGCTTCCTTTACCACCAGGCCACCACTGCCTTTAGTGCTGATAAATGAACTACTTAAAGAACCATTCTAGTGTAACAGCTGACCTGCTGCCTCCTGCTGTACACCGGCTCATCGTCCTGTCTTAGGAAATCTTCAATGGACACCAGACGGCTGTTCTCCTCCTCCTCCTCTACTTCAGACTCTAGTGTTGAGGTGCTGGGAGGTCGGAGCAGGTTCGTTTCCTGAGGGTGAAGGAGGTCCATGATTGGGGCTTTAGGTGGGGAAGGGATCCGTTCAGGGCTCCCCAGCTTGGCACAATTGTCCTCAATAAACTCTGTGATAGAAGGGAAGGGACGTATGATTCCAGGGCTGTCTGTGTCTCTGCGCTGCTCCAACGCTGCTGCTACTGCATCTGTTGCCATGACTGGCTCTTGTCCAGGTGCTGGTGCTCCTGCTGGACATGGCCCTGGTGGTGATGTGGTGGGGGGAGTCACATTCACATTCACCTGAAGATTAAACAGAGCAAACACAGGGTTGTGAATCTCAACTTGTACTTTTAGAAAATAATCATTAAAAAAGACTGGTGTTGACTGGTTAGGTCCCAGTAACAGGAGGGAGAAATTACCACTGGTGTGATGGTGTTGCCCACAGGTGATGTGGTCTCACACACAGGCAGGGAAGCAGCAGAAGAAGGATTGGCCCAGGCCTGGACGTATGAGGCTGATGAGGGAAAGTCTGTACTGTGTAGAGTTTTAGAAAAATTGGCAGGAGCCTCCACTGAGAGGCCAGTGTTTTGTGATGGCAAAGTGCAGAGAGGCATGGAGTCTTTGGCAGCAGAGTTCATGTAAGACAGTGGCAAAGGCATTTTATTGTGTCCTACTGGGGCACAGGCTTGGGAAAGGGGCATCGATGGGGCAGGAGGAGTTGGCCCTGACATGATGGTTGCCAGTTTAGAGGGCACGTTGACTGGCAGTGAGTCACAGGACTCTCCGTGGGCAGACATGGTGCGGACAGTGAGCTCCTGAGCCACCTGCAGGGACTGGATCTGAGAAGGCCCCAGCAGAACACTGCCTGCCGTTGGGGAAGACACCTCCAGCACCTTACCAAAAAACAAAGAAAAAAAATAGTTATAGACAAAAAAAGGTGACAGCTAAGGATCGTTACTTAAGGAGAGAACTCAGAGACACCTTTTTCTTGTCAGCATATACGGTGTATCCAGTGACACGGACTCCGTTGGAGGTTCCAGCAGCATCTATAGTGACTGGCAGCCAGCTGATTAGGGCGATACCAGGAGAGGGGCCGTGCTCCAGCTGCACATCCAGTGGAGCATCAGGTGGACCTGCCAAGATTACAGGCGTCAGAAAGTCCAGTTGTGACAGGAAAGATGTAATGTAGAATAAAAAGAATTCTCATTAAAGAAATCAACCCAACAAAACAACAGTGTATGGAGTGAGTAGGTTAATAACGGCAGACGTTGGAGGTAATTTAATGAGGGGCAAAGACAGTATCAAGGCTCACCGTAAAATTAGTTTTGGTACTAAATTAACAAAACACTGATTTCTTTTTACAGTTTAACAGCTCAGTAAATACATTACTTGTAACTGCCACCACAATATTGATGGGTTGTTTGATTCATGTATGTTAATTTATTTTATTTTATTTTAATAAATCGTCATTGTTGTCAAAGCTCTGCTCACTTTCTGTATATTTGGTTAACCATGTATGAAGTTACATATTATTCATCTTTCTTTTTAAATTAACTGGTATATTGTATTTGGTTAAATAGAAAAAGTATAAACATATTCCTGCTTTGTTTCCTCATGGTCTAGGTTGTGTCTAGGCTGACACTGCACATGAATAAAAACACAATACATTGGTTTTGTACTGAGTTTGTCGTTACTGATCATTTACGTGAAAGAAGTTTACCAATGGCATCACAGGAAACCTTGACTACTAGTGCTTGGTGCTGACCTGCCATCAGTGTGGTGAAGGACACTGAAGAGGTTCTGTGTTCCCGTCGCTCCACAGGTAACTCCCACGGTGTGCGGTGTGGTCTTGCCTCCACTTTGACTGTGTACTGCATACTAGGCAAAAGGTTACTGAGGCACAGTGAGTAACAGCCAGCCTTCACCAGCTCATGCTCCTCCTCATTCAAGGTCACAATGTGCACATAGTTGCTATTGCTGGGCAGCCAGGTCAGGTTGGCAGAGGTGGCCGTAATGCTCTCAACACGCAGCTGCGTCGGCGCAACACAAACATCCCTGCCAACCAGCATGCTGCAGCGCAGCTGCTCCGACAAACCCTTCTCCGTCACACTTTGCACCGACACTCGATAGGCCTTAAGGTTTATGTCCAGCCGCTCCAGCACCGCTTTGGTCTGAGCACCAAAGGGTACGTTCAACCGCAGTTCCTGATCCACATACACATTATAGCTCAACACAACACCCCACCCAGCTGGCACCAACGGAGGGTCCCAGCCAATGATGATACTCTTGGCAAGCTGCTTAATGAGGGTGAGTTTACGTGGGTAAGGCACAATGTCTACTCCCACCTCCTCCAAATCGAAGTCCACTCCGTTGGTGAGGGGTGCTGGGACAGACAAGGCTGATGCTGGATGTGAGGGGGCGGAGGCAGGAGCTGAGGCAGGAGCTTAGGCAGGATCTGAGGCAGAAGCTGAGGCAGGAGCTTAGGCAGGATCTGAGGCAGAAGCTGAGGCAGGAGCTTAGGCAGGATCTGAGGCAGAAGCTGAGGCAGGAGCTTAGGCAGGATCTGAGGCAGAAGCTGAGGCAGGAGCTTAGGCAGGATCTGAGGCAGAAGCTGAGGCAGGAGCTTAGGCAGGATCTGAGGCAGAAGCTGAGGCAGGAGCTTAGGCAGGATCTGAGGCAGAAGCTGAGGCAGGAGCTTAGGCAGGATCTGAGGCAGAAGCTGAGGCAGGAGCTTAGGCAGGATCTGAGGCAGAAGCTGAGGCAGGAGCTTAGGCAGGATCTGAGGCAGAAGCTGAGGCAGGAGCTTAGGCAGGATCTGAGGCAGAAGCTGAGGCAGGAGCTTAGGCAGGATCTGAGGCAGAAGCTGAGGCAGGAGCTTAGGCAGGATCTGAGGCAGAAGCTGAGGCAGGAGCTTAGGCAGGATCTGAGGCAGAAGCTGAGGCAGGAGCTTAGGCAGGATCTGAGGCAGAAGCTGAGGCAGGAGCTTAGGCAGGATCTGAGGCAGAAGCTGAGGCAGGAGCTTAGGCAGGATCTGAGGCAGAAGCTGAGGCAGGAGCTTAGGCAGGATCTGAGGCAGAAGCTGAGGCAGGAGCTTAGGCAGGATCTGAGGCAGAAGCTGAGGCAGGAGCTTAGGCAGGATCTGAGGCAGAAGCTGAGGCAGGAGCTTAGGCAGGATCTGAGGCAGAAGCTGAGGCAGGAGCTTAGGCAGGATCTGAGGCAGAAGCTGAGGCAGGAGCTTAGGCAGGATCTGAGGCAGAAGCTGAGGCAGGAGCTGAGGCAGCGGTGGTCTCTGTTCTTTCAGATGTGTCCATGTGGAGGAGATGCTGGTGACTGGCACTGTGCAGGGTGTTATGAGACATGTCCCCCATCTCTGGATGGTGAGTGCTCATGACATCATCATCTGATACACGTTCCACAAAATTTGAGGGGACCAGCCCTCTCCGTCCATCCATCAACTCACCTGAGAAAAGGAAAATAATTAGCAATTACTAATTATATGCTAATTGTAGGTACATGATGTAGGCACACGTCTTCTCTAAAGACTTACCTTCATAAAAGCCGTCATCATCCATATCTCCATACACGTAGATGTATTCTCCAGCAGTGAGAGGTAACTCAACATCGGGGTTGTCATTGGGGCCATCGTGAGGATTATAGCTGTTTAAGTAATTTTTGATTTTCAGATAAAGTTCAGATAAAAAACTACTAGTACTGGATATTACTTCCCTTCCCCACTTCTTACCTATATCTTGCAATAAAGACCTGAAGCTTAGCTGCTCCTCCGTGGGCGGTGTAAGGTGCTGGGGCCACATCAATGTCCAGTTCATCTACTTCACTTGCCGTGTCCACCTGAAAATGGCATAAAAACTAGATGAAACACTGCAATATACACTTATATAGGTCATGGATAATTGTTTTTTTAACTTTGCTTAAAAATTGAACCTGTGCACTGGACTGGCCAACCTGCAGTCCAGATCTGTCTCTTGTTAAAATGTGTGTTCCATTATAAAAAAAACTCTGACAATAGAGCATGTTGAACATTTATAGATTTTGTGAAACAAAAAAAACAAAGTCACCAGAGCTAATGCATTGTATGTCAATTTAATGACTGCATTGATTCAGTCATCAAATAATAATCAGTTTGAATTGAAAAATCCTTCTTATTTTGTCATTCATTGCATTTTGATGGAAATGTAATTAATTTCAGAGCCTTTTTAATTATTGTGGTTCTTTTTTTTTTATCGCCTCACCTTCATTACTGAATGGAATATTGACAGCAGAAAAAACAACTTTGTATAAATTCATGTCCACTGTCTATGTGGAAACAGATATAAATATATTTATGGCTCTCTGGAAAAAAGCATTTCAAAGTTAATGACTGACTACTACTACTGTATAACCTCCATAATCCAGAACGGCCAGAGGATTATTTTACTAAAAATGAGATTTACAGTAGTGTAGGCCAACGAGAGATGAGATGAAAAGACCACCTGTCTGCCACACAGGAACAGAGGCTCATTCTTTTCAAACAAATACTAAAACATAACTTTTTTTTTTACTAAATCATTCCTATAATTTATGAGCAAAGTTGGTTTTATGTAGTGCATTTAGCTCTAGAACGTGGTCCTGTGAGAAGACAAAGAGGTTAAGGAGCATTTTTAATCCATTAAATCCACACAGTCATTGACCTCATAAATAGCCAGTGCCATAATCTTTATGAGATATCTGTCTGTGGAGAGACAAAGGAACAAACAGCAACAGCCTTTATTTGTGACTAATCCAAATGATGGAATTATTAATACGGAAAACGTCTAAAAAGAGATTTAGCGCCATAGAGCAAGTGGATTTTAGTCATTACTCTGGATCTTGTAGAATGTAGTTTTTTTTCAAACTGTCTTTAATTGTCCTGAACCCCATTATTCAGTCTACAGTCACGTGCAATCCATTCAACAATTGTGTCAACGAACGAACTACTTTCTCAGCCGTGTACCTCATGTGTTGGGCTTGATTTGCGTGGACTGAGGTGAGAGTCAGACTTAGGGCTGAGGTGCCTGGACTCTGACTTGCTGGAGGAAGAGGCTGACTTGCTGACACTGATGGTGGGTAGCTCACGATGCTTGGTGACGGGCGAGCCCCCCCTCCTGGACAGCCCCAAAGAGTCTATCCGCAGCGCAGCCACCACATCTAGCAGAAGATAGAAGGAGGAAGAGGATAACACATAATCCACAGGACTCCAGCAGACACCTCCAGGCCTCTCACTGGTTAACCTGCTTGAATCTCTGAGCAGCTAGTGGGTAAGGTCACTGTTTGACATGCAGGAGGCTCAAGGCTGAACCTGGCTGATTAAAGAGTTGAGGATAAGCCCTGTCTCCATCTGTTTGAGGTCAGAGGTCACTCTAACTTGTGCGACTGTGTGTCACTGTATCGCTGCTAAAAGGCTTAAACGGTTTCACCAACCACAAACATTTCTGGGACCTTCATGCACTGCTCAAAATTACACGCAGTTACACTGCGACAATGTCGGTGAAATGAGTGGTTAAAGCATGCCTGTGCTTTAATGATGGAGAACACCATGATGGAGGACATATCGTGCATATTGTTACCCTCAGGGCAGGAGAGAGTGTCCCCTCCCTCAACACTCCAGAAGGCTATTTCACCCAGGGACACCATATCCCATGAGGCATCAGTGCCGTCTAAAACAGTGAAGAGTGTTTGAAAAGATGCTGGATGAGTTTGGTCATTTGTTGTTACTTTTAAAAAAGCTTTAAAATGAACTGCTGTTTGGTTTTGTATTGGCTCCGAACACACCCACTATTGTAACCTATTGGTTTTACAACTATGGTTGTGTTTAGACTTGAATAAATGTGTAGCTCATGTAAAAAACAACATAGTAATACTAAACCTAAACCTGCTGCCGGGGTGTTTCAGTCATTTTGTAAAATATGTTGGTTGCAGACTTTTTTTTTTTTTCTTCTGTTAATTTAAGTAATAACTGCGTAGCTCACCTCGCTCCGTGGTCAGGTCCACACCATTGGTCAGAACTTCTATTAATTTAAGTAACAACTGCGTAGCTCACCTCGCTCTGTGGTCAGGTCCACACCATTGGTCAGAACTGAGAGACTGGGATTGTTGAGAAGTGTGGAGCTGGCCAGGTCTGCCTTTGAGGCCTGCAGTCGAAACTTCTCCAGCTCTTGAGACAGCAGACCAAACTGTTCACTCTGGCTGCGACATTTCTCCTCCAGCTCTCGCACCTTGGACTACTCATCAGACACCAACGGACACGGTGAGACAAAACACACTTTTGGATCAACATGGGCAATTGATTAATTTCTATTTATTTCTAAGTTGACTCTGATACAATTTGCAATAAATTATGTCTATGTTTTCTCTGAGAACAGAAAGTAAATGTTATCTACATGTATTGTGTTAACAAACACATTTTTGTGAGTCATTTGAAGACTGGAACACCAGTATCAGGTTCAGACGGGGTTAGACTAGTGAGTAAACAGGTGCAAACACGAATAACACACATTTAGAAACTCAACAGGAAGAACATGGGAGGGAATTAAAGGCGTGTGAGTGCAGTGGTACTTGACGGAACATTATATAGGTTGGTCTCAGCTTTGCTGAGTTTCTATATGCGGCAGTTTTCACTTCCGGTTGCGGTGGGAGTTTCCTGGCAGGTTGATCTGACACAAGTGTCTGCACGGAACGGTGAACAACAACATTTCCTGTTATCTCTCACCTACACTAACCAGACACTGCAGGCAACTGCACTCTGGTTAAAGTGAGCTGAGGTAGTAATGAGCACAGGAAACTAGGAGAGACCTTTCTCTCAAATCGTTACAGAAAATACTTTTTTTTTTAAAATACTCTACTACTTTAATTAACTAATATTACGTTTCTAAAATATTAAGGGAACGTATATAAGCAGCAAACGTTTCTCTGATATAAATCTGGTACTTTTTTTCCGTGTAGGTTAATGACCAGATGTCTGGTAAGATTTTGTCAACTTGATCATTTAAACAGCAGGAGTCTAACTGGTGTGGGTCTATCTGTGGATACTACAAAAGGTGTGCAGCAGTGGGCTCATGATTTACCAGAGGAGGTAAAAAAGAAAAGATTAAAAGTACCTGCATGCAGTCCAGAGTAGTCTGGTTAGCAACAAAGAACAGAAGAAGGAAAGTAAATACATGCTTAGGTGAGGGACAGAAAAATATATTATTAAAGTAGAAACACAGCTGTGCTGGTGCACAGGAAGACGCCTGTGAGGAACAGAAATGTCTCCAGCCTTCAGCAGCAAAAACCTGCCTTTGCCTGGACATTCATGTTCTATGAATTTTAGTTTTAAAATAAAAATGTTGGTTAGATTGACAGAAGGCGACCTGCCTGGATGACAAAAAGACTTTCCCCTGTAATGTTTCAGGTTACGACTTAGAGAGAAAGGAACAATGTGAGAGAGAGTAAGAGGAAGGAAACAGGCAGTTTGAAAAACAGGAGCAAACAATACTCTACCAGCTCTCGTCGCAACACGAGCTGAGTCAACTCCTAAAATAAAATAAACAATCTTCTTAGGAACAAAGAGCACATACACCACATATACACAGTCATCAACTACAGATACACTCACATATACTCACATATACGCATATGAAACAGAACAGTATCTTTATTGTCATTCAGACAACGCCCAAAAATAGTGCAAAAAGTAGGTATTAAAAACATATCGCACATTACCGTGTAGATTCATTATCTACACACGATTTTGATTTTCAGTGTGAACTGTCACAGGCACACAAAGCTGATTTGGTTATTTACAGCCATGGTGAGCAGAGGTGTCATTGCTTTTAACAGTTTTCTAGGCCCATGAATTTCAGACAGTCATACATTGTTCAGTGTGCTGCTACATCATCTATTACCAAACACAGCTCAGATATTAGGGATGTTTTTGTTATTTATTGGGAAATGTTATTTGATAGTCAGGGCAGCATCACGGGACTTTCATGGTGCGTATGTTGTGACTGAAGCGTCACTCTGGTGTCATACAAACTCACCTCCAGCATCTGGACCACTCCTTCATGCTCCCTTTTGGCAAATAATTGCGCCTGTTGAATGAAAAGATACTGAAGTCAGTGTTATGATGGGTCTACCAGGCCTCGCGAAGAGCACAGCGACCTCTGTTGACAAAACTAATTTGAAGCACAAAAATATTGCCCCCTGCTGGACAACCACTGAGTTGGCAAAGAGAAAATAGAACAGTCAAAAGCGTCTTGTTCAAAGAACCTCAAAAATGGATTCTTACCCGCTGTAAACGTTTGATCTCATCCTGTTTGAACTTAAGGATAGCCAGTGCCTGATCATGTTCCAATTCCAGCTGCTGCCTTCGCTCGGCGACCTCTCGCATATGCTGTTCAGAAAAAAATAACACAAATTAATGAGGCGCACTCAGATGTAGAGCTAAAAATGAGACAGAACGTTGTTTTATTTGAACTCTTACTTACCTTAAGGACCTGCTCTAGGTTCTCCAGTTTGGCACGGAGTCTCTGGTTCTCCTCGAGAACTGAATTGTGTTGAGCAGTCACTTCAGAGAGATGTTCCCTTAGCTCTTCATTCTCAGACCGAGTCTGGAGAAACAGACTGTCAGACTGAGGGGGCTTTATCGAGAGGAAATGTTTTCCATTGAAATAGGCAGGATTCTGTTAGTTCTATGTCTAAAGCTGCCTTAAAACTAGTTGTGGTTCTAGCCCAACAGGACCCGGATCACTGACCTGGTCAAGCAGCAGAGCCTTCTTCTTAAGGAGATCTGCCTCCTCCTTTAGATGCTCACTTTTACTTCTCTCATCTTCAAGCTGGCTCTCCTGTTCAGAAACCAGGTTCAGATAGAATTATGATATTCCACGTTCAAATATTTTAAATTAGTTATTGCAAAACACTTGAAGCAGGAAAACTGAACGTCGAGGACAAAGCAGGAACCACAGCAGGCGACTTAACCTACCAAATCTAGACATCTCTTCTGTCGCTTCTTTACTTCATGCTCAAGGTCTTCACATTCTTTTCTTTTCTTGCCCAGCTCATTCTCCTGGACCAACATCAATGACATAGAATAGGTGATGTTTACATACAGTGTTGCTTAACACACTGGTTTTGACCTTTAACACAAAAGCAATGAGGTATTGCAAAGCTTAGCATCCTTTAATTATTCTAAATGCAGCTTACATGCAGGACCAGCAAAGGAGAAATCAGCTTATTTCAACGTGGCCACTGGACCTCAGTCAAGTATTACCTCTGTGACTGCTGGAGATGGAGATTTTCTGTGGCTCTAACGTATCTATGCGAGTATTCGTGTTTATTGTTCAGCAAATTATAATCTTTAAGTGCTAACTCTGAGCTGCTGTTCTTCTTGTTTTAATACATTTTTTTCTTTCTTTGTTTAAAACATCAATGCTAAAAGACTAACATTTGTCATATTTACATTATTAACCATCAGAAACATGTCAGTAAAATAAACCCTCCCCTAACACACAAGTATTGTATAGGATACTTTTAAAAACTAGCGTAACGGTGTTTCATCGGACGAAACAAAATTAGAAAAACCATTTGTTGTTCACATACATGTTTTTTAGCTGAGACCTTAACATTTTGCATGGTTGTTGACAATGCAGCCACAAACTGACCTGTCATACAGAGCATGAATAAATACAGATGCTGCAGATATCGGTGTGTTCCAATTTTAAAGTTGTTGTGACAACTGTGTCGATCAATTTGGATCATTTGTAATCATTGGGAATTCTCCCTGTGTTCACTCGAAGCACAGCTCTTTAGGGGCAGAAGCCCAACTAGGTCAGCTGTCCCGGTGCCACTCAATGTCCACGTTGGTCTTCTCATGTCTCTACTCAAATATTGTCTTTCAAGACAAAGAAAATTGATGTGCAGTTATTGAAGCAGACTTTGTCTCTATAAAGTGCAGTCCAACCAGTGTGAAGCTCTTCTGTTTTCCAACTGACAAGATCAAATATAATCCTCACATTACATAACAAATCTGACCGTGGTTTTTCCTCCAGTGGCAGTTGGCTCTGCTACTGCATGGAAATTCAAGCTTAAGCTTCACATTTAAATCTACATTAAAAAAAAAAACAAACAACAACTAAGCTTTATCCAAGCAATCAACATTGTTATTATAAGAGCTGCTAGAGTAGAAATCTGCTGAAGAATGTTGACTGTAAAAGAACACGTTTGTCAACAGGCTTCAGAACCACAGCTACAATCACTTTATATTGAATAATGTTATAACAACATTAACAAACCATTGACATATCAGTCAATGACCAGTTTACTCTCACCAGAAACTGTAGCTGCTGCTTCTCTGTGTGCTGCTCTTGAATGGAGAGGGTCGGGCTGAGGCCCGGTGGGGGCTTCACTGGCTGCTTAGACTCCTCATTTGGGGTCTTCTCACACCTGGATGAGGCTTCATCTAGTGACACCCCTGCAACCTAAAAGGGACAGAAAGAATCATTCAATTATTTTAAGCTCACATTTATTGGGATGTAAAACATAAATAGGTTAAAACAAGGTCAAAAGGTTCTTAGACAAAATGAACATAACACTTTGCCTTGGGAAAACACTGAGTTAGATCAAAACCTGTCGCTAAGCTTCAATAATTTTAACAGTTTTCCATTTTGACTCAGTAGTTAAAAATCTAAAGTTTGTTATGATTGAAATAAAAATATAATGATACAACCTGTCCAAGCTGAAAGACACCTAGGAGATGTGTTCCAAAGCATGTTCTAGCAGTTTAATTTGAGACAGATTGAAATTATAACACCTATCTTACAATTTACCCTTGTGTCTGCATATATATGTGTGTGTGTTTGTGTGAGACAGTGAGTAAACATAAGGTATTGGTCCTGTACAATAACACTAAACATTACACTCCCTGCTGTGAGAGAGGGATTAGTGGCAAGCCTCCTTTCCAATGGTCCACTTCCAATCAAAGAATAATCCAGAGGGAATCCCTGCAGCCTGCAACTTGACTGGACCTCATCAGCACAACGTCAGTCTTTAATTAGGCCTAAATTACATTTCGATGATGATATATTTCTTTTTTGCACCCGAAGCTACACGTTTTTCTCATGAACTCTTTTACGTTTGACTGACAAATATGAATGAGGACGGGCGAACACAGGAGAAGAGTTAAGAATTGGGAATCAGGAGCTAATTTTAGACCAAACCTGCTTATGTTCAGAGTAGAACTGTGCTAGTGCAGCCAAGGCCGTGACCTAATAACAGGATCAAAGTGACTCTGCCATGTGCAGCAAAAACGAATGTCAACCTAAATTATTATTCTTAGTCAAAAAAGCATGATGACAGCAGCCTTTATGTTCAGGTATTTCACTTAATGAGGGATGATACTCAGTGCTGATTGGTTGGCTGCAGGAGATATGTTCCATTAGGCAATAACTAATGCAACTTGTTTAATTGTATTCCTTTATGTATATATAGATACATATTTATATATGTGATATAACATGTGATATAACTCCAACATAAGGAGATATTACATAAGTATGGTTTATAAAATGTCAAACTAACCCAACACATTCTTACCTACATACTTTAAAATTATATATTATATATATATATACATACATAATATATATATATATATACATATATATTGTGTGTATTGTGTGTGCTACTAATTTAAAAATAATAATTCAAAATAGAGATTTCAATGGAAATAAACAACTCAAAGATGTTTTGTCCAGTGTTGTTATGTTAATGTTCTTTGAAAATAATTATTAGTTAATAGTTACCTTATTAACTACACACATTTTTAATTAAATCTAAACGACCACTCCCACCATCTGTGACATGATGAGACAGAGAAAGCTATTGCTACTGTCGAAGATGCATTAGTTACTGTAACTTTCAATGAGTCATTAATTGAACAAAGTAACATCCATTACCAGGTAATAGGCCATAATGTCATGTATGAATGACAGATAAAGTTGCCCAAAAGTTACTGTAGTCAATTCCACAATGATCAAACTGAGGTTACAACTACAACACGATTTCTAAATTTCATAAATCCTTATTAAAAATAGGTTATTATACTTGCATGCCCCGAAAGAATAAGTGTGACATGCTTTTATTTCATTGAAATGAAATTATTGGTTTAATACTAAGAATTATTTTTGAGAAGAATTTGTACACAATAGTATCTCCTATAAGATTTTCTCTTTGGATTTTGTTGTGTTGGCAGTGGCACTGCTGTAATTTCTTGTGTAAATAATAATCTATTCCATGATTCCTAGAAGAACTAATTTCAGGCCTAAACTCAAAGGTTCTCTTTTACCGTCACACCATGGTCCCTCTGTAGACACTTGTAGTAATGAAACAAGACCAAATTGTGCAGTGAAGCAGGGTCAGGTCTATTTAGCAGGCCCTGGATACCATAAGCACATACAGTAGGTATAATCTCTGCAGACTTCTGAAACCAGTAACTGGATCACTTCTTTTGAAAGGACCTTAATGGATTTGCCTAGCTACTGTATTGACTGTCTATTAAATAAATGTCCGCCAATCAAACCCACCATGTCACTCAGGAAGGCTGCCAAATTCTACATCTGGAGGCCTAAAAATTACTGGTACAAAACCGACCTCATGTCCTTGACCAGGCTGCATCAATGTGTCATTTTTACAAATGAAACTCATTCAAAGCAGAAGCAATAACAATAGAAACCGGCAGAAGAACTCCTGCTCTGCTGTAGGTCAATCAGTTGCACTAACATGGTGCATGTTAAATCCCAATAATCTTGAAGAATGTGCCGGTGAGTTGAGAACGTATCACAAACACACCACACATTGTACGAAGCCAAATCTCCAACAACCACCATTGGTGGCGTCGCTGATTAGTTTCAGTGTCAATGCTCAACTTTGAATCCTGCACCACTTTAGCCTTACATCCAGGCAAACATTTGTGGTGTTAACCCCGAGGACTGAAGAGACTGGCCCACAAAGACCTACAGACAGAAATAACAGCCGGAAAACCACCTACCCCTTTGGTGAAATCAGTGGCAGTGACTTTCTCTGACCTGCTGGGTATCCAGAGCGAGGGAAAATAAAAAAAGAGACGTCCTTCATGTGGCAGGAGTCTTACCTACCTCAGAAAAACCCTCTAACCACTGCCGAAGCAAAAGAGAGGGGATTACTGGACTGTACCATTCGGTTGTCAGAGGGGATTACAGTTCACACAACATGGCCCCTTTCTGGGTTTGAGCTTGTGTGTCCCACAAATGAGAGATTACCAGAATCAGTATTCTCATTTGTGCAACGTGAGCACACAACTTTGCTCCACTACACAGGCAGTAGAGAATGTTCCAGCAGAGAAAGTAGGAAGAAAAGTCTAGACTAAGAATACATGACCACATACATTATTATTGAATCATTCTCCTCTGTTTGAATTAGAGCAGCAGTGACATCACACCCTCTTATAACCTTCTTATAACTTGTTTTATTGCTATACTCTTATATTCTGTTGATGTGTTCTGCTGACAGCTGTTATGGAGGTCCTTAAATCTGTGTCCCTACAAAAACTCTTAAGTTATAACCAACATAACATCAGACCTTTTAGGAATTACTTCAAAGCTCTTGGTTTAAATAACATCAATTTACTGCCATTAGTTGAGTGAGTATGGCCACATTGAACAGGATTAGGCCCTGAGAAGATGGATGGATATGTTCACTTTTCAACCACTAGAGATCAGTGTAGAGCTGGGCTCTGCTTTGTTTTTGTTTTTTTACCTTCTCCCTTTTCTCTCTCTCAGTTTCCACACACTTCTCTGAGCCACTCGGCTCAGGCCTCTGGTTATGCTGCTGCTGTGTGGACGATGTGACAGAAAGTTGCCTCTGGAGACGCAGCACCTCCATCTGAGACTCCTGCAGGAGCTTCTCGAACTCCCTTCTTCCAGGCTGAGTAGAGGAGCCCTAAACACACAGACATACACACGTTAAGGCCAGTCATAAAGCCAATCAGGCTGAACTATTAAAATTTCATTTTCAATTTAATTTTTTAACTCTTGCTCCAAAAATGCTACACTAATCTTAATGAACGGCTCTGACATCATGTCTAATCTGATCAAACCTTTGTGTTGTTTAATTCAGAAATTACAATAAAACTTTAAAAGGGAAACTATGAAGTGTGATTTATCCATTAGATGCAGTTTTTGAACTCATCCAGCATAAATAACTCAATCGTGTTGAGTTACTCTGATGTACAACTCAAAGAAACGTACATCACAGTGTCTAACTGGTTATTGTGTAACACAGCAGATGTTTGCATCCAGGGGAATAAACTGTTAAGTCACTGTTTCAGTCATTAAAGGCTGGCACTTAGAGAGTCCGCCTGCTCCTGCACTGTCATCTCAGCATCTGCTGTGACGCAGTAGTTGTAAATATAGACTTAGGAGGGAATTAGGATAAGCAGTGCCACAAGTGTCCAGCAGAGAGTGAGGGAGTGACATTATGTAGTGGTGTTTAATACAGGAGACGTGTGAAATTATGGGAGAGAGAAAAGCATCAAATTGGAAAAAATGATTCAAGTGAAGTATTGAAGTAAGACAAATTTGACCTTTTTCCTTTATCAGTGGGCCCAGAGTGACGGCCGGTGTAGTGATTTGGCTCAGTTTCATCAGGACTGCTTTTTTGAGGCAAGCCTCCTCAGTAGTGAGGGTAAGATGAGCTAAGTCAGAGGGCATTATCCATTTTTATTACAAAATCTGTGGTAATGGTAAAGAGTTTTCATTCACCACCATCAAAACGCTTTGCAGACAACATCTGTGCTGACACCAATGATGGAAAAGGCTGAGTGTCATTCTTCTTCTTCTACCTTGCTATTGCCCAGACGTGCCTCCAGGTTTCTGCACTCCTGCTGCAGGGCAGAAATCTTTTTGTCTTTGCACAGCAGTGCATCAGCATGCTGGGCAAGGTCACGAGCTCGCTGACGGGCAAATGCCCTCTTGTACTGTTCCACAGACACAGGTCGCAGTGGTGACGAGGAACTGATCTGTACAAAATAAAGGCAGAGGAGTACTCATGTCAGCATGTCAGGTGGTGTCAGGCTGAAGCTGAAGCTGAAGCTGTGTGGTGTGGTGTTTGCTCAAGGCAGTTTCTTCAGCGTGGTGATTCCTAAATAACCCTGAGGTAACTTTATTTAGCCTCCAAACAAAAGTCTGGGCTGAACCTATCAAATGTGTTAGCCAGGTGGTTAAAAATGTGTGACGTGTCACTGTCACTGTTTCAACGCCTCTTCATCACATTCTCAAATGTCAGCGTCAGATAATGTGTCAATCCACTCATTATTTGCAGCATTTCAGGCTGATTAGAGATGTGTTCACTGGTAAAAGTTGTTTTTATGTTGTTTGAGTTCCACATTACACACCACTCTTAGATTGGCCTCCTGAAGTTTTCTAGCTCTTTCTTCAAGCCTCTTAGCAAAAAGAGCCAGCTCTGTGTTCTTCCTCCTCAGCCGCCTGACCTTCTCCTCAGTCTCTGGGGCGCTGCTCTTCCGCTACACATCAGGGAAGGAAAATGATCATTATATAATGCCTAGAGCAAAACACCTATACTGTGATGACAAACAAAACGATCGAACAAATACTAGTGTAAAGAACAGTTTACAGTTATTACAGTTATTGTTTGACCCGTCTCATGAGACATTATATAATAGAAAGCTTTAAATCAATTCCTTTCAAGAAGTTTTAAGAGAAACTTTAGCTAGATTGAAGCTAAGCCACAGTAAATATTGTGCGAATAATTGTGAGATAATGAGTAAAAAAATGGGATGATAAAACAAATTGGATTTCAGCTCCCTCTTATAGAATGAAGTAAAATATTGTAGCATAACATTATAACAATATCTAAACAAAAAAGAATTACAGATCCACTTACTGCATAGTGTACAGATGCATACATTTGGTGAGAGAAATAATATAAAATATCACAGGCCAAAGTAGTACTATTTCTAGTTATTATGGAGCTGTACACCTCTAAATAGGTGAAGACAAATCTCCTGTCCTGTTTTGAAAATAATCCTGTCGTCATTTATTCTTTTCACATTCATTTTCCTTTGGGCTTTGTCGGCAGCTCTAAATCATTCAACTATCAGTTCATCAACTGTTAATTTAATAACATTTCAGATGGACCCTTTTGATACAAAACAAAGATCACGTTACTCTAACCAACAGAAATCATGCTCATACAGATGTTACAATCAGCCCTGCTGTGTGCTCATGACCTACTTTCTAGAAGAATCAAGATTTCCTGTTATTTTTAGTCTTACCAGAAGGGCATTTTCCTCCCTCAGTGTGGAACAAGTCTTTTCCAGCTCATCTAGGGCTCGCAGGAGTTCAGAATTCTGTCGTACCAGGAACCCGTAATCAGTGCCGCACTGAAAAAACAAATTTGCTCTTCAGAAATTGTCTTGTAGTTACATTGAGATTTTTATTCTCTTCTCTGTCGTCAAGTAGAGCAATAACTAACAGTGAGCACAGCATGGACTACCACCGGCTCTAAACAACTAAAACACTGTGCAGAGTAAGAGAAGGACCAAAGCCCTCCTCTTACTGTACGTCAGTCCATGAAGATGGGCTGAAACAAACCAGGAAGAAAAAGGAAAAAATACTTTGACATATTATTACAGCAGTGTCGAACAGTTTATATATATATACTGTTAACAAACAGGCAGTTACAGAGGGTCCTTGACACAAAAGTTAAGGTTTAAACACCATGATACTGGACACATGGCCTTTAAACACAGAATGGACTGAATGGACAGAATAGAAACAGTAGGGTTTTCAATTCAAATTTGGAATTGATTCATCTTCGCCTGAGCTATAAGAACATGTATACTTAAACAGAGTGACAATGGTAAAAGTAAAAATAAACATTTATGCAGTCACAGCTAAGAAAATGCAATACAGCTCAGTTCAGATGGACAAAAACAGAGGAGGATTTTATGGAGAACTGACAAAATCGACAAATAGTTACGTCAAAGGCGTCTTCCCATTTTTAAAATCAATTAAGTCAAACTAACCGCACAAAATGTTTGATGGACATGCCGAAAATATTTACAAGACATTGCAAAAGCTGAACTCTGACGTAGATTGAACTTTGTTTCCTGGACAATTATTTTGCAATCAATCAGAAGAATCAGCACATGGTTTCATCACATGTCGTCGATGCTAAAGACCAAATCAATCACCTGGAGGGACCCGGCCAGAGTGAACTGAGCTTCTCCTTCGATTCCTCTATGATTCAAATGATCTTGGAGTCTATCCAAGTCTTTTAATTGTTCTAGGGGAATACACCAGTGGCTTTTCATTACTGGTGACGTAATGCTGGCTCCATTATACGCTAAAATCCAGACTGCTGCTGCATAAAAGCTGCAGGTGGTGAGGTCCACTCAAGGCCACTGTATTAGCATTCAGCTATACGTCCTTTTTGACTGAGGTGTGGTTTTCACGTGGGTCTGGCGAAGTGAGACAGGCAGATGAAACACAGCAGGAAGACAGTAGGGGATGTCTGTGGAAATGCATTAGCCCTGGCCAGGACAGATGGGTCTACACACACACACACACAGAGACACACACACACACACACACACACACACATATATACATACAGACCACCTTTACTGCCTAAATAACATTAGAACATATAACAAATATAAACATATGCACTTTAGTCACTGACTCTCACTATAAAAGTAGATTATTTGCTTTGTAAACAGGGACAAAACTTGGTCTGGCTGCCATTGTAAAGAGAACAGGCCAGTATGACTCCTGCGTATCTAGGCCAGTTACTATTTTATACCTCCTCCTGGGTCTACAGTAAAAAAAGGAAAACTGTTGTAATGGCTTTCTGAAAGGAATCATCTTCGAGGGGAGACAAGAAAATGAAGAACTCAAGATAATCTAACCCTTGTTGTTCTTCGATACACACTCCAAGTCTCAATTGCTGTGCAAGAACATGACAAAGCATGTGATTTAGAAGAAATAGGGGCAATTACACAGTGGGAAAAGAATATGAGGCTAAATAAGTAACACAAAGCTGTTACTGCTTTTATTGCATTTTATACTACAACATAGAGCTCCATATGTCCCAGTGCCCGCTGGGAAAACGGAAGGTATAAAAAGAGCCAGTCAGCTGAATGTGGAGATGAACCTTTATTTCAGACCTTGTCAGCCTTGGGCAAATACAAAGAGGAGGTGCCTCCTCCCACTGACCCCATCCTCAAACACATCATGTCTGTGAAAGGCTTCGGGAGACCATTTAAATCACCATGGGGGCAGGAAAGGAACCATCAGACAATGTGAGTTGCAGCCTTTCCATTTAAATTAGAATCTAATTGACTTGACAGTGTCACTAAAGTCTCACAGTTTAGAACGTTGTCAATATTGCTCTCATCTCTGTCTGACAAACTAGTGTTTTTTCTTTAAAGTAACTAGCAGCAGATGTTAAGTTTGATATTGATCAGGTTTAGGTTATATTAACACACAGATCACAATAACATAGGTCAAAGTAATGTCTGTATACAAAAAAAAAAACTACATAATGAGAAGAACCACACTGCTGTCTTTGTGGAGCACTGTTTTATGGACAGCATCTCGCTGTCTTTTCTCATATATAAGTCATGAATATGCTCTCAGGTGTCCTTTTCAATCCTCTGTTGTATTCAGCACGACTCATCTCCCCAGGGTACAAGACTGGGGGTCTCCCACACTGTGTTGAAGAACAAAGAGACAACACACGAGACCCCTTCACTCTCCCTAGGACACGTGGTAATTGACTTCCACAGAAATGTCTGTATGAGATGATGAACACATGTATGACCGATACAATACCACAACAGTTACACAACTATTGTTTAGTACATGCAGTGCATGCAAACAGCTGCAGCTGAACTACACAAGGTCACAGACCTCCTCCTCACAGCTCGACGGTCAGACTGAATAAATGCACATCTGTTGGACCCATTTCAGTATTAAAATGACGGGCAACCTTTCCTGACATTCAATGGGTTGACTTAATGAACTTCCTTTTCCTTCTCTAGCCACAAACCATTTCCTATAACAAGTTTTAGTTCCACCAGTAGGTAGAACCAAATGTAATGTTTTGGTTTCCAGACGTACACAGGAAATGAAAATATAATTATACAGACACAGCGTATACATAAAACATGACAATGAATGCAGTGCCTGACCCTTGTCTGGACCTCATCTGAGCCAGACAGTAGTCAGACAGACAGACCTCGGCTTAATATGATGAGAGACCATTTCTCCAGAGGTCCACCTCTCAGTATACTATTAATTATTCACACACATACACACTCACACACACACACACACACACACACACAGAGAGAGTGAAAGATACAGATAAGATCCCTTGTGGCTGCAGAAAGAAATAAAGGTCAATTTTAGTTGCAGCTTTCCCACTAAGAGGCTCCTGTGGACTTTGTTTTGTCTCACTGTAAACTAACGTTTACGGTTGGTTTTACAAGATTTTACTTTTAAACAAAAAAAGTTGTAAAACACACAAAAACCATCTAAAACCCCCTTTTTCAAACGGTCTCGATCTTTTCTTTCACATTGTGTTGATTTTCTTACAACCAGCAAACACAACAATGCAGCCTACAATGACTTGTTTGGTGGAGTTAAAATTAAAGTCATACACTGTTTACTGGTAGGACTGCCTTAGTTTTCAAAAGGAGGTTTCTTCTCTCATCCAAGAGGCTTCCTTAGGTCCAAAACAGATAAGTAGAGGACAACAGGAGTGTCTTTGTTTCCTGGAGACAACTCACCTCTCCTGGTAAGGACTGAATGACTCAAAAGAGTCATTACCATAAAACAATACTGTATATGAATTCACACCTGTTCACATGAATGATGTTTTCACCTGGGCTCAGGTGTGAATTAGCTGCACAAACCACCAGAAGTTGTCAGTGTCAACAGGAGCTGTTGTAATTATCACCTAGGATAAACTGCTGACTGTGTCCCACTGTACATGGAGTATGTCTCTGTTGTTGAGTAATTTGGAAAGAGATGTTTTCTGTTTCTAGAAATCTCTTAGAAGGTTAACTCTCTGAGTCTTAAAGAATCCCAAACCAGTTTAGTTGTCTTTTGAACCTCTTAATATTAAATGTGCAGATTAATAAACCAATATTCTGGAGAACAGATCTCTGTCTCTCCTGACAGACAGAGACAGTAGCACCACAAATAGGTTGCATGAAACCCTAATAAGTGTGAAAATACTGTGGAAGGCACATATGTTAGGTGTGTTACAAAGTGAAATATATAAATATAGTGGCAGGTTTTGGAGATAAAGTGATGGAGACAAAAGGCTGAGATGAACTAGATGCATGCTCAGAAGAGAGGCTGGATGAAGTTGTTGTAGATAGAACTGTTAGTTTACATAAAAAGCACAACCTCACTTAAATAAAAAGTACAATTAAACACTTTAACCACAAAAATCCCAGACCTTGACATTTAAGAGGATTTCTCCTCGACCACATTGGCTGCACTTGTTACAGACCTGCCCTGTGAGAAAATGAAATGCTGACCCAGTAACACGGCTAATACGGTACTTACAAGCTGCAGGGCCACGACTGTCAATAAATTGAGCGAGCAGGGCTTTAATTTACATGTCAGGAAACTGGATCTGCTTAGACAGCTGTTTCTGGTGTGAACAGCAGCGGCCCATAGAAGATCTGAGTAAACATAATGTGAAGCTTCGATACAGTATGTTGTCAAAACTGACACAGATTTGCAATATTCCAATCATTCTCCAAAGCAATTAGGTCTTCCCAGGAGAGATCTAATTTAATGGCAAATTCAACAGTGAAAGGAATTAATTTGAAAAGTGTGCCCTGCTTTTACCAAATGACAGCTAGGACTGGCTCTAGCTTGGGCTGAGGATGGTGGACGGAACAGGTGATAGATGGCAACAATTTATAAAGTAAATGCAGCCTTTAGCCATTTCTGGTATAATATATTAATCAGTTGTACTGTGACACCTCACTTAACATTGTAGCAGTTGTTTAAGAAATCCTAGAACTGATCATTTCTAAATTTTGTACAATCTTTGTGCCAAGAAAAAATCTTGAGTATTGATTAAAGATGGTTAAAAACTATTGCCAAGAGATAGAACTGCTTGCCTGGTTAATTCCTCTGTACAGTAACTCCTCATGGAGCAAACACCCAGCCTCCATTAGAAAGGCAGCCATACAGTCTGCAGACAGGTGTTAAGTGTGTAGATCACAGAGGACCACACACACACTCAACATGCTCATTTCTCCTACAGACTGACACCATCAACAGCTTTGTACGCCTATAATCAGAGGCTCAGCGTTAACATTTAACAGTGGTTCTAATATAAGTCAGTTACCAAAGATGTCATTGAAAAAGAAGATAAGTAAATTACATTATTACTGTTGGAAAGTCCTGTGTTTATAAAGTTTACATAATGTTGAACTGTTTGTTCAACATTATGTTTTTATTATTGTTGTTTTTATGTTGTTTTTATTATTATTATTATTATTGTTTATCTTTTTGTTTCTTCTCTGTCTAATTACATCCGTGACCATAAAGACCTAAATATAAATATGTGGTAAATGTAAATAGGCTGTGTTGTATTCTTTATTATCCTACAAACATTACGCATACAATATATATCTTTTTCTACTGCAAGATTTACTCAATTTACCAAAAAAGCACTGCTGTATTATACAGTTTTTTTCCCAAACATTTTTTTTTCAATAATAACAATAAAACTAAACTAAATAAAACTATACCAGCTTTGTCCAGAACATAACTTACAGATAAAGGCCTCTTAGGTCCTGGGCTCAGGAAAGACGGGAGACTTAAGGTCAACAACAGTAAAACCAGCCTGAATTCTTTACATTCTATATATAACGCTGTCTGTTCGTGCAGGGATTAGCTGAATATGAGTGCAATTTGTCAGCAATGTGAAGCCACTCTTTTTCCTGCAGCTTTACTGCACCTGCTAGGTGTCTGTATAACAGTTCTGGAAAGCTCTAATAATCTATACTGTACAGAGGAGGGTGGAGCAATTCAATAAATATTTATCATCATGAATGCAGTATGAGAGTACATGTATATGCACACACACACACACAAACACACATACACATTTATACAAATACACAGAGGAATGGCAGAGGCGCCCCCACATCAAATAACAGTGTAATTAAAAACAATAATCTAAGATGGACGACCCCCACTGGTTTAAAATCAGCCAAATAATCATTTCTAATGCCCCTTTGTAATGTTAACCTTCAGCTACTGGGGGCAAGTATCCTCTCCCAGGTGGTGCTTTGACAGTTCATTAGGGGTGATTGTAATGATAGAGAATAAATTGCTGGGGGTGGGAATGGCAGCAGACAAGGTTGGGAACCAATTACTTCCTGGTTTTGATAATAAAATCAGTTTAGAACTGCTGGTTAGACATGCTGTGGTATCCTCTACGTAGTAACTGCTAAAGAGAAAATGTAACCCAAGGTGACCATAAAAGCTGTTATCAGTGAAGGAACTAATCAAGACATCAGCACATTCAATTATGAGTATAATTCACTCCACTACACCTGCCTAAATCAAAACTCTTTATACCCTTCTGTCTCTTCAACTTAAATGCAATGCAAGGAGTGTGTACTGTAGAAGATGGTACTTTGTGCCACTTTTATGTAAACCCTTTATTATAATTAATAGAACATCATGACTATTACAGAGCATGATTGACACAGCACCACATACAGGCCTGGCATATGTACCGCAGAGTTGTATTTTACATCACGGTTTAGACAGATCTTGTTTGCGTCCAATCCATGTAAACAGAGGCTACTGTAGTCACATAATATAGTACTGTCACTGTGTAAACATGGCCTTAGTCTAACTTTAATATAGACAGGCAGCAGCAGCAGAAAATGCTAGTGGACATTTAATTATGGTCAAATAACTAAGTGACTGTTAATATATGCCTTTAAAACAATACACTGCCATGCCAACAACCTCGAAAGGAGACTCTGAAGACGACATTCAAGACATTGCACACTCACCTTGCGTATCCTTTCCACTTCAAAACCATTGAGGTTTGCATAGAGCGAATGGTGCCGCTTTCCTAACAGTGATGTTGAAGTGACATCCGCCTTGGTTGACACTGTGTTGTCTAGGAATGCATGTTGGGTTATTGCCTGCTCCTCTGATCTTCTAAACTCCTGTTTCTGTTCTTTTGGCACCTCCACCTTTTCATGGCTCTCCATCTGTGTGTGTGTGGATGCAGGCTCTGGCTGCTCAGGCCAAGTGCCCAGGTCATACATTACTTCACGTCAGACGTATCGAAGATTGAATCAATATGACAAAATGAGGTGCCCTGCCAAAACCAAGCCATTGCAGACTCTTCATTTGCTGTAGAAGTACAACACAAATCCTCCTGTATGTCTTGATAAAGCACCTGACAATTCCAACTCTCCATCAGTTCATATGCAGACCTGTTTCTTCATAGCTCAGGTGAAGTGTCTTAAAACAAAAAGGACTCTTCCGGCCATGGCTATCAGCAAGGATGTGCAAAGTTCGTCCCTTAGGAAGTCAATGGTAAACTGACGGAAATCTGCTAATCAATGGTTAGGTATCCTATACATGAACTGTTACACTAAAATGATCTGTGCCACAATAAAGTCCAAACCAGTTAAATATAAAATCATACGATGCAGAGTCAATTTATCATCTATTCACTGACAATGAGGACGTTTGGCATCACAGGGAACTTGCATACTGTTAGCTTTGACATCTTCATCATCTTGTCTACAATGTTTGGCGTTCTCTTGCTCGCACTTATCCGGGTGTCCTGGTGACTACACTGACATACGTTGCTTCATCGTCCCTTACCATTTGGGTGTCTGCGATTGTTTTCATAGGTGCTTGTCCAGAGATTCAAAAATAGCCACTGTTCCAGTTTTTACACTACATTAATCCTCAAAAAGCAGACATGGGCCTGACTGAAGCAGCAAGCCAGCAGAGATGCAGAATGCAGATGAAAATACATGCTGTAACTCACAGGTTTTCACTCCAGCTACAATTCAGTCAGTAAAGCTGTGATGTGAGCGGTGCAGTGAGCCTGGCCGCGAGACCCTTTTTTAAATGAGGCAGCTGCCTCGTCAAAGGCGGTGTCCTCCAGAAGCTAAAATACACGAACAAGCTGCTTAATCCCATCTCAGTTACACGGCAATAAAGGTGAAGAAGGACGATGAAAAGAGAAATGTGTGTGTGTGTGTGTGTAAGACAGAAAGTGTCGCTCAGAGGAGGGGGCAGGGAGAAGTGCTCAAGTCGTCCTATCACAAAAAAGCAGGCTTTCAGACGGGCCCAATCATGACCACGACCAGATCTCGTTTCCATGGTGATGACGCTGGAATGATGTTGGCTGCCTATTGATTGTGGAGGAGGCTGTCCATACACTGCAACGCAGGCAGGAGGCTGCAGGAGGCACAAGTGTGTCCAGGCCAGGCCACTTGTCATGTTTTACAACAGCTGTCCACTATTAAAAACAAACTATGTCTTAAATGTCCTTTATAGTGTTAATAATTATTTAAATAACTCCTCAAATGTGTCTAATGAGCCAATAAATATAAATCGGTTTTACAACTTAGCAACGGTTACTTAAGCCTTATTGTTATATGCTTATATAAAGAGAACCGGTTTCTGGCATTTTTCTTTAACTCAAGGATAACAATCCCACTTTTTTTTACCTAATAGTTACAGCATTCAACCATTAAAACAATATTTTCTTAATTTAAAATATCAATAAAATATTATATAAAATACAAAAAAAGATTTTAATAATTTTTCCCCTCTGAGTCACATGGCAGGAATATAAAATAATGAGGGCTGTCAAATAGCTACTTACATGGACTCTAACAAAAACCTTTGAACAATGGTAGTAAACCTGCTCCCACCATCCATATTACATGTGAAGACAATGTACCTCAGATGTCATTGGCTTGAAAAGGCATCCGTTATGTCTCATGTTAATTCTCAATACACATACACACATTCTTGGTCACCCTGAATCGACCTCTATATTTTAGACACTGCACAAGAATGGGACAGTTCATTAGTTAATAGAAAATTCATTCATAAGCCTCAGATATGAAACTGAAAAAGGCAAATAAGGCCAGGAGTGCTGGGAAGATGCACAGATTTAAATAAGGCTTCTGTTGTTGTTTACAGGATATGCATATTTAAACAGCCTCTTCATACTCAGAGTCTGTTAATTACAGGTTCTTAAGAAAGACTAAGATGTGTTCAACATACTAACTCATTGCAGTGTTAGTCACCCCCTAACTTTATTTACTTTCACACAAGCATATTCATTGGCTAAATGGCTAAAGGGGTGGCAGAGTGATTGACGGTTATTATTGACTTACTAAGTGCTAGTGGTCACCAAATCGAACAAGAAGAGCTCATTAGGTTTATGTTATGTTGCACGTCTGTTTGACGGAGTAGAATGAGTCATATTCATTGGCCAACATTAACCATTATAATCAATTAGTTTTGGATTGTCAACTACAATGGGCAGCATGGCCCAATAGTATAGTGCAACATAGTTTATCAAATTAATTCCACAACAGTGAGAAACATAAAATCATCAGATGTGATGTAGCTTACCTCCATGTTTATGTTCAAGCATTTAGAGGGCGTGGACTCTCCTGTTCTTGGGGCACCACAGGGGGGATGGTCACTGCGGCCTGCATTGAGAGTGTCGCAATTTTTCAGCAAGCTGCACTGACAGGTGTCCAGGGCTGTAGCATTGGCACTGGGGTCAGCTGCACACAAACCCCTGCCTGAAGTCCGCCCCGATGAACGGGAGGCACTGTGGCAGGAGTTCACACCGTCTTTCTGAGCAGGCTTTTTAGAGAGACTTTTTAAATTATAGCTGGGATGAACAGCTCTCTGTCTTCCCTGCAACTGCTTTCTGTGACGCTGTAGCAGGTGGCAGAGAAGGATAGCTTTTTCCCGCTCAGATTCCTGTCGGTGATGGAGTTTAAAGACAGCATCTATCTCCTCATACAGCGTCAGCAGCAGTAGCTCCAGATTTATATGTGTGTGTCTGCTGCAAGAACAGGAGGCTTCCTTCCCTGTGGACACAGACGTGCTGTACTGCCCAGTGTCTTTTACATTTATATCTCTGGCAAGTCTGTCAAAGTACACGTTCTTTTGGTGCCCACGTCTTGCCACCAGCTCCCTCACAGCTTTCTGGAGGTTGCTTTCTGCTTTTTCCCGTAGATGCCTGAGCTCCACATACAGGTGTCTGTGGCTCCATTGGGTTTGACTTTTTCCCACCTCCAAATCAGCGTGAATCCTCTCAAGCTCTAGTCCATGGTTGGTCTGGCTCTGGAATGATGTCTTGGACAACAGTGCCAGACGGTTATCCTTGTTTTGTCTCATGATTCCTCATTCACAGCACAACATGCAGTTTGAAGACACGCTTAAAGAGCACCATGCATCTGAAGTAAGAGGAAGAGCAGCCGGATGACGATGGGTTAATCACTGACATGCAGCATGCACGGATCACAGCGGCTATCACATCACACTGGCCACTGGATTGAGAAAGCAGAAGATTTCAAAAAGCCAAGGTTTTATGGATCAACCTTTCCAAAAGACAGAGACAATTATAAGAGTACACTTAACTTTAGTCAAGATATTTTTTAAACTTTAAAATACATATTCGGAGGTAATGCATTTTATTGATAAAGGTCAGAAAGAGAAAGATTAAAAAATACTCACATAACATAACAATACACTAACTAACTGCTCACCAATCTTTAATATAACAATACAGCATATAACTTGAAGATACCCATGCTCGTGTACGTGTGGGAATCTTTCTTTCCATTAAAGGGATAATTTAAAGAAATCCTCGAATTAGCAGCAAAATTTGATCTCCTGTCAACCAGCAAAATGTTTTTACAATGTAAGAACAGCTGAGGCAAGTTCTAGTAAACAGCAATCTTCAGAAAGGTCCAGGGTAACTTACTTACTAAATAACATAACACCTTTTTTAAAATATAATTCTTTTTAAAATCTTCCTGAGAACTAATAGTTTTAATTGAAAGTTCTTGCTGTGTTGCTATACAGTAAACCTTCGTTTGTCCTCAAATGGTTTTCCATAAAACTGTTTTACAGTTGTCAAAGGATGCAACAGGTCACAGGCAGGAAATAACACTCCACAGTTAGCTCTTTATTGTAGCAGTTTTAACAGCTCGTACATGCAACGGGATGCGGTTCATGTTACAGAATTTTGTCGAAGTGGATAACTATTTCTTTAGCATACGTGAATTAATGTTGGTGCCACTAAACGTAACCTCGCCTTGTGATTAAAACGATTCCTGGCTAACTAATCACCACTTATTAGCCAGCGTTAGCTTTACAAGAAGTTATCGTGGTCAAACTTGCATCAATTTCATGTCTTGTTCAGCTCACACCAGTGTTACATGTAACGTTTTATATTAATGAAGCCCTGGTTTTATTAACTCAGCTACGGCTGTGCATAGTATATTACTACTTACCACGGACACAGCTAATGCGTGTTGGTCCAAGGAACCATGCAGCCACTTTGTTTATGTGTCAGCCTACGGCGTCCTCCTCAAGCACAAGCTGTGTCCGGCAGTCCAGGAGCAGCGATGCCTTTACTAGCTCTGCGCTTCAAGTGATAACAAAAAAGACAACGAACGTACTTTTATATACACCCTTGTTGCCATATCTTTGTAGTTATATTTTTATACAAAAGTAACCGTAAAGGTAATTCAGGAACGTATTGTTGGAATTATTCTACACATTCATCTATTTGTGTGCGTGTTTATCAATATTTTTAAGTCACCGATAGTCTATGAAGGCAACATAATAGCTGAGTTCGGCCACAATTGTATCAAATGTGCGTCCTCTAGTGGCAAAAGAAAAGAAATGCTTCTATGGCTGCTGATTTATATCATAGAACTGGTCACTTATTTAGAGAATATTTAGAGAATAGAAACAGACTGTAAGATATATACTGTTTGGTGTGTCTCTCACCTCGACTCTGGTGAAACAAAGATGCCGTAAATGTTTCAGAGCGTGGTCGAATTGCATTGTTCATCTTAATCCCTCTATTTATGTGTTTAGTCAACACATGGAGGCTTAATTCCACAGAAAAACCTATGGCATTCCAGTTATCTATTGTTGAACATTTCTGTTCTCGTTTCCAGGAAGGTCAGATATATATTGTGTATCGCTCTTGAATATTCTGTGCATTTTTGGTCCATTGATAATATACTAATATCTTTTCCAGTGGTCTGTGTTCATTTATGAATTTCAGGGGGACAGAGAGAGAAACAAGAGAGAGCAAAGAGATTTAACATACCGCTCTTATCACTGTGTCCTTGAACACTCCCACTTTGACTGCCGTCTCTTATGTCCGTGTGTGGCACTCTGCTGGACAGGTGCTGGAGCTGGAGTTGTTGGCTGCTGCTGCTTAGAAGTTACACATTTTCTCCCTGACAGTGGGTTTTACCTCTACAGTAGTTTTATTATTATGAGGGCAAATCTCTAAATATTCTTTGTACAACAAATTTTAATTTCCTCTGAGCTACAGGACAAACCCAGTCTGTTCTGTTTCTACTCCATGGATTGGTTAGTCTTGACTGACTTAAATAGTTATAATAATAATAAAAAAAAAACAACAAAGATGAATTGCCCCAACTATATAGAAATAACATCACTGGCAAACATATTTTATATTTAATATAAAATTAGTAGTAGTAGTAGTAGTATAAAACATCCTAGTCTTTATTACAGTATTTGTCATACAAATACATACATACAATGTACTATAATGCACTTTAGACTCAATGTTTTTCTTGCCGTGATAGAACTTTCTTTATTTTATCTTTACATTTACTTCACTTTACTTTACATTACTTAGCTTTAGTTACTGAGGTTGTTACTTAGGGAATATATTTTTACCATTACCATTTTTTCAATCTTTTAACTCATCGTATCCTTTTAATGCAACACAGAGCTTGTCTCTTCTTGAGGGAGAATTAATCAATTAATGAGTTTACATAAGGTAATAATTAATAAAAATTGTTCCTTTTTATTGCATTTAGTTATTGGTGTAATTAATTCTCTAACTGAAATTTACCAAATTATACTCAATATTGTTTTGATCTAATTATTATAAATATCATTAATATTGTACTTTTGTACAGTCACTCAGACTTCCAGTATTCTAATAATTAGTGTTATTTTCCTGCTACTGTCTACTTTTACTGTAATGTACTGTAATCGCTCTCCTACTTCCTATTATGTGGTATCTTTTGTGCACAAGCGGAAAAAGGGACAAAACAAGATGTTTGAGAAATACACTGTTTGCTTACAGTGTCTGTTAAAAGAAAACAATAAGACACGTCAGTGTTATGTAATACATTGTCTATTAAAAAAAATCAAACCTGTCTGATTGAGGAAAAGATTTGATCTACAATGCAGTGAAATACAAAACGACTGCCCAGGGAATATTCAGTATTAATCTATGTTTATTGTTCTTAAGAAATGTGTCACAGTTTTAAAGTAACACCTGGATTGTGGAACTTCACGACCCACTTATTAGAATTGTCCAAATATGTGTCAGGATGTCATGTTAGAACGTTAGTGTCAGCTTCAAAATCAAGACTGAGACAAAAGCTCTTTCTCTGGGAGACCATGACATCGACCATCGCTGAGGATGAGTGACAATGAACTTCCTCTCTGTAGCTGTGGAGTTATGAAAGACTGGCGTGACACGAACAATAGCCATAATCTCACCACACAATATATTAAATTATTATAATATAATTACATTACATTAATGTATATTATATTATATTATATTATAATTACATTAATGTATATTAATGTATATTAATGTATATTATATTATATTATATTTATATTATATTATATTATATTATATTATATTATATTATATTATATTATATTATATTATATTATATTATATTATATTATATTATATTATATTATATTATTTCCTAAATGTAAGTTAGCTTATCGTGCAAGTTAATGTGTCTAACTACACTGGTAAAGTGTAACATTTCTAGCCGCAGGAGTGAATAAATAAAAGATGAGGGTAAAATAACTACATTGTCAGAATGTAAGTTGACTTTTCTTTACTTTTTTTTTTTTTGATGACTGCTGACTTATTTGAATATTTTTAAGCAACATTACTGGCACTTTTCCTGAAATCTAGTGAAAGTGGAAATCTAAGATTGTGGAGTGACATGTTTCAGGTGTGGTGAGTTATCTCCGTTCTATCCTGAAGGTTCAGAGAATCAGCTTGCTGTAATTAAATCCTCATATTTTGATTTAGTCATCATCTTGATGACAATTCAGGAATGAGTTTTGAATTGCTTCTTGGAATTCATTACAATGAGCACGGACGGTCTGCACGTTCCCCCTCAGCCCAGGAAGGATTAGTGTTTCAGAGTATTTGTTATTTGTTCATTACACTATTTGGAAAAAGGCCTGCGGCTTTTCCCACTTCAAATGTCAAGCTCTCACGGAGAATATGGGTTACCTGATCAGCCTAAAGTGTACGCAGACAGATTACATTCTGAATGTTTACAGCAAGACGAAATAAGACGAAAAGAATATCTTTAGTACCATTTACAAGTTATAACTTATAAAACTTATTTAAAAAACCAGTACAAATACAAGCGATTTAATATTAAAAGATCATTTTTCAATGTTATTAAGTATTACACGGAGATAAAAATACATCTAAATTCCTTGCCTTTTTTATTTTGAGAGCTATTGCTCTTGAACTGCTTAAATATCGAAGTATTGAAGATTGTAAGGAATTAGCCAGGGAGTTACATTCTGGGTTGTTTTTTTGTTTGTTTGTTTGTTTGTTTTTTACTTTCCATATACAGAATCCATATTTTCAGTAAAGGAAAACCAAATATGATAAAATATGTTTTATATCAAGCAGATCTCATTAAATTAGGTCTAAATCATTTCCATTACTGCCTTGAATATAATCCCAAAAGGGTTTTCCCATAGATTTGTATAATTGTCAAACCACCCCCTGACATGTTATATCTTTAGAAATATTTAAAGAAAAAAATAAAAATCTCAGTGAAAATAATGGATTAAATTTAAAAATTAATTAAGTTTAGACACCTTCTCTCCTCACCCCTCTCAAAGATGCACAGAAAGATGTGCATCACTCACCTTGGTCTGATCTATCTTTTTACAGACCAGTAATTATGTAAGATCAAGTATGACGATAAATGAGTAAGTGCACACCTTCAGTATTTTGTGCCTAATCAGTGAATCCGTTGATCAACCATCCTAAAGTCCATCCCATCCATCCATCCATTTTCATCCGCTTATCCGTTACCGGGTCGCGGGGGCAGCAGTCGCCACCCAAATCACATTGCACCGTACCAAACCTTCCTGCGGGTGGTGAGTCCACTGGAAACCATCCTAAAGTGAAAGTAAAAAATCAACTAAAAAGGCAGACAGGACTGGAAAGAATACAAAAAGCAGTGACTAGTTCAAACGGGGCTCCAAGACAAGGATAGACCAATGTTTCCCAAGCTTTTTTGAGCCACAGCAAATATATATATATATATCATCAGTAAAAACCCGACTGCACAACATAGAAAAAAAAACTAACAAAAGTCTATGTAATGAAATCGAATAATCTTCTAGTTTAAATGACGTCATAATGGACTAAAATCCCAGCCTGTTTAGTTGAAGTCAACACTGATTTACTGGTAGGAATTGAAGAAAGCACTCACAAACAAACAACACTTCTTTAAAAGCTCTGATTATCTATAATAATAATTATTATATCATTATATATCATATAAAATAAAAAAAGGTAATAATTGTTCTGCCTTTCATGCTTTCATACACTATATGCAATAAATGAATAATAGTTTTCAGCCCAATTAAGTGACCGAGGTCTTGGCTCTCTCTCTCTCTCTCTCTCTCTCTCTCTCTCTCTCTCTCTCTCAGCCCCAGCCTTGTGTCTTGTGTTCGTGAGTGTGTGCTGTGGAGGGATGAGCAGCAGAACCACACCTTTTGTGAATGCGACCTGACACTGAAGATGCTGTGGTGCCAGTACAGGTTTACCTTTCACTCTCTTTGTCTTCTCCTTCTCTGACTCCTCCTGCTTCTTTTAAGTACAGACGGGCCCAGGGCGTTATAATATTACCGTACAATGCTGTGATATTTCATGTTTTACGTAATCTCTGTCCCTGAAGCCTGGTATTTATAGTGAGGCAGAGTCAAGAAGATGAAAGAAGTAACACACTTGGTGCTGGATGCCCTGAACTTCTCGTCACAGTCTCAGCGCAGCCTTTCTATGTTTCTGGTGTGAACTTTGGAGTCAAGCTGTGCAGACTCGAACCCCCGAGGACGCACATCTTCTACTGGTACTTGCTTTGGTCAAAGGAAACTATTAGGGTTTATTCTTTTTTCTTTTTTCTTTTCATTTTGGCTGAAGAGAGATACTTCCACGCCAGGTATGTGTATTATATTATAGTATATATTTCTGATATATTAGTAGACAATTGCCAGTGAGTAAATCAATTAGAATATCTGGCTAATATGTGTGTGTGTTTTATTGGTTTAATATATTCTCAAAATGTTTCATCAAAATAATTTCCATATTCAGACACTTTTTTCTGTTATTACTTTCACATTAAGGTAGAAAACAACACCCATTATGTTTGCAATTTTAAAACTGTACAAAAACATGTCAACTTTGCCTTGTTTATTTATTTAAAAGGTTCAATCCCCTCCCCCCCCTCCTTATTTCGCTCTGATATGGTGAGGTATGTTTATGGGGCTGAGATCTTTCAGCTTTTCTCAGCGCAGGGCGGTGAGATGGGAGGGGATGTAGAGCCCACACAAAAGGCAACATTATTCCCCGGCGGATCTGCGCTGCATCCTCCACTATGAATGGAGTATTGATAATATTATATTTGCGACTAGATTATTTTCCATCCCTTAAAAACTGAGCCAACTGTCCCAAAATTTTTTTTGGAGTCTGGTGTTACAGGCTGCAAATGAGACGTAGAGGTTCAGCTCAGGACTGTGTTGCTCAAAATCTCCGGAGCCCAAACAGACGTCTCTAATTAGATACAGGCACTTGGTTAAAAAAAACTAATTTTAATATCAAGAGTTGCCAGATTGATTGTTTGGAGACTGAAATTCAGCACACGCTAAAGATAATTTAATATATCAGCTCTGCTCTGAATGATTTCACTCCTCCTCTCTCCTGTTGTCCAACTAGACGAGCGGCGCCCCTACAGTGTCATCAGGTGCCTAAGCATTTTGGAAGGTTTTAGTGACAGATTGCAGGAAGCAGCGTTTATGCCTGCGATGGGGACCGCAGAAAGCAGAAATGTCTTTTTGTGCCCCCCTGGACACGGAATGTCCACTATCTCGAGGGTCCAATATCAAATTCTACCCTCATCCTCTGCTAATACACATTCCTGGGTAAGGTCAGGGGAAATTCTGCATGATCTGCTAGATACAAACAAGCCAACGCTGAACACAGCGCTGAGCAACCTTTGAGGACACTCAGAAGCCAAAATCCCAGTGCAGTGAACAAATATGTCAGAGCATACTCATTAAATTTAATTTTTTTGGTATATGGCTGAGGAAAAGTAAATACTGTTGAAGTGCAGACTGGAGGGTATTTGGTGTCTTCCGTAGCACTATCTCTGACTGATTACTGAGTGACTGACTGTGAATCCTAATATTCTCTTGTCTGGAGGGAAAAATCCCCCTGAAATCCTCAAAGCAGGTGCCTGCTTCTGTCTGTAACACAACCTTGGCCCAGCTGTGATGATGCTGGCCAACTCTGACATTAACCTTCCTGAGTCGAACACAGCCCGTCCCAATGCTTCATGCAGCCTGTGCTCTCAGACTGCTGTCTATTCAGTGCAAAAAATGACCATTCTGAATGAACTCTGTTACTGTGATGAATCATTTGGGCCTAAACAGTTCTTTACGGTGGTCACGACTGGGACCGCGGACCACATTTTGTTGATGCATGAATGTTGAAATAAAAGTCTCCTGTCTTGGCGAGTCATGAATGGAGCTCTGCCACTTAGTCTACAGCTAAAGACTATTTTATTGTTTATGTAAAAAATGAATACATGTGATGCACTCCTTTCAAATCCATGCTCTAAATGTGAAATGTTGTTACTGTCAAACTTCCCTCGTGTGAAAAAAACATTCTAAAAGTACTCTGGAGAGGAGGAGTGAGTAGTGTTACTGCAGTACTTGGGGACATATCTGAGGGTAATGGTAGACTTTTTAAGTAAGAAATTATTTTACTCTAGTGAAAGGTATAAAATCCTACCTGCAAGTCTTTGCCCCTAGGGAATAGAACTTAATAACCTAGTTTGAAAACCAATTGTTTAGGAACCTCCCAAATTGTTACCTGATGTCTTATTCATGGATTGTATGGCAGACATCAACGTACAAGTTTGTAGAAAAAAAAAAAAGAATCCCAGTTCCTCCAGTCTACATGCCAATGTATCCCTGAATCAGACATCTCCATGCAGCTGTGTATGAAAAACAAAAACCTGATGTGAATTCAACCATAGAAACAAATAACGTAAGACGTTCGTGATTAGTACCATAGACCTAAATAACTAATCTTGTCCATCACTGGATGATATAAATGGACAAGTGTCCATTCACACCAAAGGTCAACAAGGTCAAATAAGTCACTGTTTTAACATTTAAAAAAATGAATAGTCTAATCTGCCTGTTCCTGATCTGCGGCATTAGCCAAGAAGCATCCTGAGCTGTGAGACAAACCAGTGACACCTGAGAAGCAATATTGCAAACCAGCAACAGCAGCAACAGCAGCAGCAATGTAAATGTGGGAAACTATAATACAGACTACAGCACACTGACAAGAGCTCGATACTCTCTCTGGTTGATTCAGGCCGACACTCAGTGTGATCACTGAGAGCCTGGTTTATTGTACATTTAATTAGAACAGTGTGCATGTGTTGCAGGCGGATGGTCAGTCAGTCAGCCATGCCAAGCCATCGAGCGGTGGAGAGCAAGTGTGGATGCTGGAATCCAGGTTTCTGGCTCCTGGTTTTACAGCTTGAAAGCTTGGTCGTTGTGGCCTTCAGTTCGGTCCTGCAAGTAGGTGAGTGTGTACCTGACACTGGAGTGGTGAAGTGAGTCTGTTGTTTCAGTTCATCCTGTGATGTGTTATCATATGAAATGTAACATTGTAGAATCTATTTTCAGAAAGTTCCAGTAACCTTTAAAATTGAGTTCAAGGTATTCAGTGGCATGAGTACCGTCTATAATTTCAAACAGATTTTTTCCAGCTTCAGATTTTGTATGATATTTATTATTATTCAGCTTAACGACACAGGGGCTCTGCTACACTGTACATTTACTGTCTACGTCAACCTTTATCAGTCAGAAAGCAGCAGAATTTGTTAAAAGTCTACTTTTAAGGGAAACAGTTATTCATTTCCAAAGGGACATTTGAGACGATGTCTCATACGTCATTGCGTAGCCTACGGAGAAGACGCTAATAATGCTTGAGAACTAGGTGTACCAACAGTCACTCCCTGTGGACACGTGCTTTTGTGTCCACAGTTTCTGTTTATTCTGCTTTTACAAACAATATCTTATCCAGGAAGGCGTTTAAATGGAGGTACAATCAACACTGTATTAAGTCAAAGTTGCTAATAAAACCCCTCAGAAAAGCTAACTAACTAGCTAGCTAGCTAAGGTGCCTTTTTAACCATTTCTGCCTTTTAATTTCAGGAGCAGTGAAAATGAACAAAAGGGATTTAAGCGGTGAGTCCTATTTATTATTGACTCCTGTGAATGTGACTAGAATAATAATATAAACTGTGTTTCCTTAGCACATGCAGCATGAAGGTATAACCTATAAACTATACACGAAACCCTGTAAAACAGAGGACCAACAGTCCCTGAAGCTGTAAGGATGTAGATGTGTCACGGAAAACAAACGGGAGAAGCCTGTGAATTGACCCACATCGCATGTGTTGCTAAAAAACAAAAACACAAAAGATCTCCTTTGTGCCTGGGTGAATGGTTGAAACACGAGATGTTTGTCTTCAGGTGTCAGAATGTCTTTCATACAGGGCCAGAAAAGTTTTCAGATGTGTGACTGCTGGCAAAAACATGGGTTCGTTTTAATGCAGAGTAAAGTAAAAGTGGCCCTCCATGCACGAAGTGTCGCTAAAGATAAACAATGGAAAAACTTCTAAAAAAAAAAAAAAAAAAAAAATAAAAAAAAATAAAAAAAGGGCAAATTCAAAAAAGGGCAAATTCATTTTTAAATCTAATCTAATTTAACCAGGCAATATGAAAAAAAAAGGCCAAGCAGCAAGTTCTATTGTTAGCTTTTGTATTCAGATTTCCTAAACAATGGCATTGTTGCCTCCCATGTCTTTATTGATGGAGGCCTTCAGATCTTTTGTTAATAACAGCTCAGACTTTGTAGCTGGATTGTATATAATTTTGGCACATACCATAGACTCATCTGTCGTAATTACGTTTTTCCTGCGTGAGCTCAGTGACTTTCAGACCGTATCTGCGTTTCTTTGTCATCGGTACAGTCTCAGAGATCGTTTGAGCTGTTTTGTATGACTCTGGACTATTCATTCAAAATCTTCAAATCCCGTGTGACTTTGACCATCATTGTTGCAAGGAAATCAATGCACGGCATCAATCCTTTTTTTGTACTCAGTAGATGAGAGCAGGATTAAATGCTCTGCCAACACAGACCAAGTAACAAAACAAGGCTGTGCAAGAACAACAGGAATCCCAAAATGAAGTCTTTGGAAGCTTCTTTTTTTTAACTAGGAATGGTTATCACATCTATTTGCATCCCTAAACAAAAAAAAAATTGAATCTCTCAGTCTTTCTGTGGAGTGCATGGCAGGAAAAAAACTCCTTGCTGTGACCTCTCTCCTCAGTGTCTTGTGTTCAATTTTAAAACATCATTACATCAGTATTAAGAAAATGTTAAAAATCTATAACCCGTCTATACTTTCTAAAGTAACTTACTTTCTTCTCTCCGTTGTCCTTGTCTTTGTTTCAGACCGTGGCGTGCCAAACCCCATGACGCCCTCACAATACCAAGGCAAGAATGGCTTATCCAGCACGTGCATCGTGTCCACACAACAGCTAGCTGTATCATAGTGAGAAAAAAAGGAGAAGAAATTAGATAAAGGCCCAGCTAGGTCGTCAGAACCAGCCCTCGATTTCCATTTTACCCATAATACCAAGTGACATTTCAGCAGCCTATAGTCATCCCTCTGACGTACGACTTCTATAGCAGCTCCTGTTGTAACATTTGTAAAGAGATGTGGAATTACACGACTGGGGCACAAGATAAAACAACACATTTAGATTAGATCTGATTTTATTGTTAAACTGCATACCATACACATGAAGACGTATTCATATTGTCTTCATTTCTGTCACAGTCCGACTGGTGAATGGACAGAACCGGTGTGAGGGCAGATTGGAGGTGGAGTACAACGGCCAGTGGGGCACGGTGTGTGACGACGACTGGGACAAAGTGGACGCCGATGTAGTGTGTCGGCAACTGAACTGTGGAGTGGCCCGAAAACCCATGTCTGGGTTTGGACAAGGCTCCGGGCAAATCCTGCTGGACAATGTTGATTGCCTAGGATTTGAAAGAGGCCTTGGTGAATGTTACAGTCCTGGCTGGGGCGTCCACAACTGTTACCACAACGAAGACGTGGGTCTGGTTTGTACAGGTCGGCCTTTAAAGCTAATACAGTTGTGTTGAGAAGGTTGTCAATGTCTTTACGGGATTTTTTTTAAGTCTCTTTTTATTTTATTTCTGACAGGACAATATACTCCGGAAAATTACATATTAACACCACCACCCAATCCAGGGTATAGTTATCGTGAGTATTCTATGTTTTATATGCTCTCTTGGCTCGTCTCTTTTCCCTTTTCCTTGTAATAAAAAATTATTACAATGGTGATCTCAAAGTCAAAAGCTTCTCTCAAAAGACACCTGAGTCTGTCTCCGACCTTCATCCAAAGACTGGTCTGATTGGCTGCAGCTCTCCTGGTGGTCCTACACAGAATAACCTGGTAGAAAATGGATGAATAGATGAAACTGTTACGTCGCCCATGGCCATTTGAAAGTAACTCTCACGGTGAAAAGAAAACAGATTTTCTCTCTGATCAAACTTAGACATGGACTTAAATTGTTTCACAAATTTCACATTGAAGAACTGTAAAGTCCTCGACTGGACTCAGAACACCAAATCCAAACATTAACACTGTTATTCCAAAGTTGAACTCAATGCCACATGAGCTTGTGAAATTATTCAAATGCTAAATGCCCTGAAAACAAAAAAAACATTGTATATGTTTTCTTGACACCGTATCCCACATACATACCACTTTGGGAATGTTGTTGTCTTTTTTGTAACGTATCCAGTTTTTCTTTTCTAATTCCCAAGGATATGAAATAGAGATACATCTTCCTCAGGTTAAACTGAAGTAACCAATCACTAATTGGTCATAGGACAGCATGACGAAATCTACTGGGGATGCTTTTTTTTTTTTTTTTTTTTAAGATTAGGTACTTTCTAAAATAATGGACACCTGAGAGATTCTATTGTCTCCTTTAAAGGAATGTTTTCCACTGGGCTCAGGCATAAGGTGACTGTCCTTACTGTCTCACACCATATCGGATGTTCAACTTAAGTATTTAGTTTTTCTTCTTGAACCAGAGCATGTGTTGTATGGACAACACCCTGCTCTATTGTCCGCTTCAATGCCTGTACATCATTTGCACTGACTTCAGTCACAGTCAAACCACTCCTACCGGTCGTCGTCTCACAAAGTGTCCATTTTAAATAATAAAGTCTAGATGTGTTTATTTAGACTCTAAAGTCTTCTCTTCTCTACTGACCTGCAGGAGAAGGTACCATCCGTCTGGAGAATGGACAGAACGCATGCCAGGGTCGAGTGGAGGTCTTCTACCAGGGCAACTGGGGAACAGTGTGTGACGATGAGTGGGACATCAGAGATGCCAGGGTGGTGTGCACGCAGCTGAACTGTGGTGAGGCTGTGAGGGCATACAGCAACTCCTTCTTCAACTATGGTACCGGCCGTATACTGATGGACAACGTCCGCTGCAATGGAAATGAGCTACACATTACTCAGTGCCCACACAATGGCTGGGAAAGACACAACTGTGGCCACCATGAGGATGCTGGCGTCGTGTGCACAGGTATGTCACTTCACTAGTGATACAAGAGTCTACCAATAATCATTTTTACATTACTTTGTCTAAAGTCCCATGCTTTTTTATTAGCCTTTTTACAATGATTAAAACAAGTCTTCCTTTGTCAAAACTGTGAGATGAGTTCAGGTGTAGCGCCAACACTAAAGTGCTACAAAAGCTCCCTCTAGTGTACAACAGCCTAAACTTGTACAACTACCGCTGCATCCTGCACAGGGACTTTTTTTAAAGGGTTTTTGGCTGTAAATATACATATTATTTCATTTGTTACCCAATTAGTTGAAATCACCATCAACTTAAATTATACATTTTAAAGGCTATAAATTGTCCTCTCCAAGAATGATCCTTAGGACTTAACGTTTTACAAAAACTTTTTTTTTCACCTTCAGGTTCTTCCACCACAGGCTCTCCTCCCCTAACAGAACAAGAGAGATCATTGAATTCGACGAAAAACCAAACAGGTAAACAGGCAGACAGCGCAGTTCAAGCTCCATTTTTAAAAGAATAAAATGGTGCAATCTAACCAAATAACCAACAGGGGGAGACATTTAAATGCAACTTATAACTGATAAATTATACGTGTAATTTCATCAGCAGTTACAACCGGAAGTGTTCCAGTCAGCAGGGTGCCAAATACAACAACAGAAACCAGCACCACCACCACCACCACCACCACTACTACTACTATTACTACTGCTACTACCACGGGAACTACCACCACCGTACCCACCCAGAATCCCGGTACCAACAAATTTGTACTTTTTACTATAAACTGGTGCTGTCAGCTTTACAATTTAAACTCATACTACTTTCACACTACTGTTTGTGTTGGTGCATGCCTTTTTCCCAACAGCAATCCATCCTATTCGTCTGGAGGGTGGATCACATCACTGTGAAGGTCGTCTGGAGATCCTAAACAAAAATGCTTGGGGGACAGTGTGTGATGATGACTGGAGTAGAACAAACGCTCTCGTGGTTTGTAGGCAGCTTGGATGTGGCCCAGTGAATGCAACCAGATGGAACCATAAATTTTCTTATGGTAGAGATCAAATCCTGCTGGACAATGTGAACTGCATTGGCTCCGAACTGGGACTCAATTTATGCTTCCACCTGGGTTTCGGTGTGCACAACTGTGGTCATCAGGAGGATGTTGGAGTTGTCTGTACAAGTAAGACTTCCCTGCAAACCAATCTGTGATACCACAACATAATTGATTAGGCATATCACAACATTCTATACCTGGAACCACATATTCATCTTCACCTCTGTAGATACATTTCCTACAGTATCGATCCAATCTCATTTATTTAGAAACGTGCAACTTTTGTCAGACTGATGCTTTTTTCGACCTGATATCTAATACCATCTGAAACCAGTGATCACTGTTTTCCTTCTTCGTTCCAGTGCCTGTCCCTGTTGGACGTAGCTTTGACGTAACAGATTCTACTTCAGTTCCCCAAACCACAACAAATCCCCCTGAAGGTATAGGGCGCAAATAATGTATGTTGCTTTTAACTCATTATGAATAAATACTAACAATGATAATAAAACTAACAATAATTGAATCTAATACTCTGAATAAGTATGACCATTATTGTTTTGTTGGGGTTTTTTCTAACAGGATCCCTGAGACTGGCAGGTGGCCGGTATCCTTGTGAGGGCCGTGTGGAGATTTACTTACACTCTTCGTGGGGAACTGTGTGTGATGATGCCTGGGATCTCCCCGATGCTCAGGTGGTGTGTCGCCAGCTGGGCTGTGGGGAGGCCTCAGCGGCCCAGGTAGAAGCTTTTTTTGGGGCTGGGAGGGGAATAATTCAGTTGGACAATCTGAAGTGCGATGGCACAGAAGCCTTTTTGCTGGACTGCTCTCACATCTCCTGGAATGTCCACAACTGCAACCACGCCGAAGATGCTGGAGTCACCTGCTCACTGTCGTGATCTCGGCTGAACCACACTCCCTTCTCTGACACGAGTAGAAAGTTGTGGAAACAACCTGTAAGACATGTATGCATAATGTAAATAACAGCTTTTCATCTGGTACTCTATTACCACCCAGCCATTGATTACACATTCTATATGCCTATTAAGCACTTTAATAAATAAATAAATAATAGGAAACACAGTGGTCTGTGTCGTATTAGTTGATAAAGTAGGGGGAACAAGCTTTTCTAGTTTTCAGATTTTTTTTTTCCTCCCGTGCAAATTTTTTGGTTTTTGTTTTGAAAATATTTGTATATACATGTAGTTTAGACCAAAACTTGATAATATGATAAAAAATAAAGGTTTAAATGAGGGAAAGATGCAACAGAAACATTAGCAAATAAGTGCAAATAAGTGACACTCTAAATTGTGAATATTTAACATAAATTGCCACATAAATAGGGTTAACTGTGTACTGCAGACCATTATCTAAGTAAATTGTATTGTATCTAATCTTGTCTTATATGTGAAAAAAAATACTGTTAATTTTTGGTATAAAATATATTTTTGGTGTATAAAACAAAACTGACTTTTTTTCCTGTTTAATTACTGTTAGAGATTATTTATTTACAGCACACAAACCAAAAGTCCATTCACCTGATTACTGTAGCTGAGATGGTGGATAGATGTGGGTTTTTTTATTGTAGACATACACTTGTGTTGCAGTAAGGACATTGATGGGATCATATTAAGTGACTGTAAACCTGAGGCTTTATTAATAGTATATTTCAACATAGAAGTGAAGTAAATAAAGTCAATCACCTGTCACTAACAAAAAGTCATAATTGTGTAATTATGTTAAATAACTACTGTAGGTTATTAAAGTATGTGTGTGGGTGTGTATGTGTGTGTGTAGAATATATGTATGATAAATGCCAAGGGGAAGCTGGAGCCAAACACAGCAGTCAGCAGGTGAAGGCGTGCTACATCCTAGATAGTTTGTCACTTTACCACAAAAACAAGGGATATTTTATAATAAACATAATTTGCAATTTCATCGCCATTTATTTATTCATTTAAAGTTAGAAAGACACAGGGGGAGATGTTAATCGCGCAGTTGGTATGACAGATACCATAAGACACGAGGTGTGTGGTTTGTGTGGTTTGTAAGTTTCCCGTCTTCACCCATAGAACAAAATGTCTTTCTTGAGAAAAAAAGATAAAATAGTTCATTTGCATTAGTGGGAAGGGTTTTAAGATTAAAGACTTTCTGACGTTAACATGTCGTGTTATAATTCTCTGTTTATGTGGACAAAATAGACATAATCTTCCACAGGAAAGAACCTGGAACTCTAAGACACAGGATGGCTTCAGGTAACCATGGCAACGGTTGGAGAAGTGAGAGAGAAATGGCTGCCAGGAAATTGGGGGCTTATGACAGACGCATGCACAGTGATGTAACGTTTGCCATGCTGGCATGTATTTGAACCAGAGACCTGTTGAGAGTTGGTGTTTGGTAGCAGACAGCAGTGAAGAAATCAACATGGACATTACTTCTACGTTAATACTGTATGTAGACTAACCAGAGATAATAACCCACTTCTAACGCCTCACACATTAGCATAATGCAGAGTGTATAGCTTAAAGATGTGCTAAATGAGCAACAATGCTTAGCATTTGTACTTGTTAGTGGTCCTGAAGTCATGGCCAGTAAACCTTTGTCTGCTGGCCTAAAAAGAATCTGAATCATGTTTCATTAATATTGATAAAATAGTAAAGTATTCTGTTTTCATCGTTCATTCTCATGCTCAGCTTTTTTCTGGTTTCTAATCCAATCAGATATTCAGCTTCATGTGTTGCCAGGGCAAAATAAATCTGCCTTGAGGCCTTCAGGATCAGTAGTGATGATGCTGGGAACATAAAATGAATGGCAATGAGATTGTTTCTCTAGCCAAGGTCTTCTAGTTTGCCCACAGTTCTTTAGGCAATTTGAGTGATTTGATTGGATGGTCAAAGAATGCACAAATTGATGGTCAAAGTTGCTTTAATGTTGTTATTAAGGCTACATTAGTTATCTAGGATGTGAATATTGATGGTTTCTGTAGCCACAGTGACATTATTAAGATGTGGATTTATTCAGGAAGGATGCCACTGAAGGCCTAGCTGCGAAAATATACGGCACTGTTCGTACCTCGTACCTCAGCACCTTTCTATTCTATGATACAATCATACTACTGGATTATAACAATCTAAATCTCTTAGTAGAATAACTTTACACACAGGGCCCCAGGATGATCGGAGGTGAGACCTTAGTCATTACAATTTTCACCAGAACGACGCACAGCACTTTTAAAGAGCTCAATATTCCTGATTACCTCAGACTGTGGGGGCGCTAGAGCGCCACATGCTCTCTCTCTGCCACTCTGCCTCGCTCTCTCTTTAGGCTGACAGAACCGTTACATCACTCTGAAAAACCACGCCCACTTGGGTGGTGACACAGCCTAGGAAAATCGGTCAGAGGGGGAGGGGCATCCCGTCGGCAGGCGCACAGACAGCAGGCAGCAGCTGCAGGGAGACGAACCGTTAACTCCACTCTGCCTTCAAACATTAATACAACGACGTCCTGCCCTTAAGAACACATACACAGGACACCAACAACGACGTCTAAAATGGTGGACCGCGAGCAACTGGTGCAAAAAGCCCGGCTGGCCGAGCAGGCGGAGCGGTACGATGATATGGCAGCTGCCATGAAATCGGTGAGTTGCCTCCCTCTGTCATCAGCCTTCTGTCATTTCGAATACATGTAATTACCTATTCATGTAAAAAAAAAAAAAAGGTGTAAACCCCCAATTAAGGCAATGATATAACTCCAATGTTATAAAAGGAACCTAGTCTTGACGTTAAGACATTTATCATGAAGCCACCCTTTATGATATGGAAGTAGTGGTTATTATGGACGACACGCGTGATAAAGACAGCAGTGGGTGTGAGAAAGCAGTGCTGTTGTAGGTTTCAGTCAGCATCATCTATGAAGAGGCCTGTGTGAAGCCTGTGTTCAGGCGTTTCCGACACCACAGTGTCATTTTCTCGGATTCACCAAGGTTCATCCGACGTGATGTCTTCACGATAAATCAGATCTTTTCACTGTCGCCGTGCTGCGGCGGATTATGCTGGGCAGAGATGTTGGGGCGGTGCCTTTGGCCCGGCTCCTTCACAAACGAGCAGGCTGCGGAGACACACGGTGGAAATAACGCAACAAAATCAGCGTTAGGACGATTGTTGGAATGGACCTAGGGGCCAGTGTGGTTTTGGAGGGACGATAAAGGCGTCGCGTCGAAAAATGCGCAGAGGACGAACGATAGGTGGGACCATGATGATGAGAGTGACATCGCAGGGTGATGATGATGGTGATGGTCGTGTTCCGGTTTACAGGATGCTGAGCTTTAACAATGACCCCCTCTCCTCCCCCATACCATGTGTGTTGGTTACTGTTAGTTAAGTGACCTTAACTGTTTTAAATGAGTATTAAGTACTCGAGGACTATTACATTACCCTAATAAGATTTAATACAATTTCAAGGTGGTGATGAGCATAAATGCAATATTTGAATTACAGTTTTCTAAAATTGAGGACCAAACAGTAACACATGGTATTTTAAGGCCCAGGGTAAGACATGGGTTTGTATATAGAAATGAATGGTAGTCCCAAAAAGAATAGCTACTCAGTGCTCACTCTCTCTCTCCCTCTCTCTCTGTCTTTCTCTCCTTCACACACACACACACTTGATTTTCTAGTCTTTCAGGGACATTTTCTGGTTTAGACAGCTACTATTTTAAAATCAGTAGATCTTTCACAATGGTCAGAAACTTATGTCTGGTTAGTCAGACAGAATGTAAATCATGCCTCGATTAAACTTTGGATGAGGCGTTTACTGGTGCTGGTTAAAGTTAACGATTAGGTTTTGCGTAGACTCACTAAATGATCCCATCTAGATATCTGTGAAGACCTTAGGGTGTTTCTCTACCTCTCCTCTCCTCCCTCCCCTTAGCTGCTGTTGGAGACACTGTCCGTCTCATTGCTACGTTGCTGGCGCATTACAATGAGTAGTGCCGTTGATCACAATAGATTAGCACAGAGGCAGCTCGCAAACTAGGAAGAATTTTCCTCTCAAAGGTGGGTTTTAATGGTGGCTGCATAGCATTTGCTCTTCAGAGAGCTCAGTGGATGTTTTACTGCAGCAAATGCTTTTTTATTTTCCCTGGCCCGAGATCTGAGGCATGACAGACTGCCTGTGTCAATCGATGCTGTGCAGCAACCGCATCCCTGCGTCCTCGACCTCTTCCATCAGGTTTCCCACACACACACAGAGGCGTGCCGCAGCATCTGCCAAGATGCAGTGCAGGGCCCACCCGTAGTGCACCATTTCATAGGCGGCCTATGCATTCTCAGTATTTGGACAAAACCATCGCACAGGGGGAAATGTAGGAAAGTTAGGATGAGGGCAGCGTCCCCCATTGTTACCTTTATGTACAACATTAGACCTAATATTATTATGGATTTGGATTTAGAAGAGTTTATATGAAATAATTGATCCTTTTTCTTATTATTTCAAAGTCCAGTGAGTTAAGTGTGATGATATGAGTGTAAATTTCAATGGATTTAAATACATTTTGCGTTTTCCGCAATGACACAGCAAAGACAAACAAGAGACATGTATTTTTCCAACATCAGCCTGTTGACCCAAAGTCAACAAGTTAGCCTTTGGTTTTGTTTTATTCTTTTCTTTTTTCAAAGAGTACACTGTAAGCATCTCTTCTTCAGCATCATGGTGTAGCAGTAATACCAAAGGGTTCAGGGCTCCACCCCTTCAATTTGTGCCTAGTCAGAGGAAGGAGAACTGCCCCGGCCTTGTCTCTCTGCAGCACTAGGCAGCGGGTGTGTCTGCTGCCTCGCCCATCATTTGAGGGGAATCCCTTGCCACTGCAGGCATGGTAACCGTGCCAACAGAACCAAATACCCAGGATCACAGAATGTGATGCTCACTGCTCCCGTCCTGGTAGTGGCTACGCTTTAGAGAACAGAAACTAGGCACATCCCAAATGAGTAGAAATGTTAGTAAAAACTGTTAGCGTTGTACTTTTAGCACTGACCCTTGTGAGATTGGGAATATATCCAAGGACGGTGTCTGATGATCTAAGATCACCGAGTAAATAAGTAACTGAAAAATTAAAATCTTTATATTTTTACACAATAGACTGAAGATTGTGTGAAACAGATTACATCGTGATTCAGCCGTTGAAGAAGTTATGTAGGTAACACAGATATTATTGATCAGAGATGTTTTTTTTGTCTTGTGTTCAAGGGAATAATTGCCTGACAACAACCAGTTTATTAAGATATTAGCTCTGTGACGCTGTCCGAACATTGTCATTGTCATCATACATTGTCCTCTTCCTGTACATTCTACACAACTAAAATGGCTGCTGTACCTTTACCTCATGTGTAAAACATCCTAAACATTCTGCATGAAGGTAAATGAACACATTTGTTTAGGAAGATAGGTTACTTGCTAACAGCTAATAAATGAATGTGAAATTGCAACAATGTCATCAAACTGACATGTGAACATCTATTCTTGTCAATGTCAGATGTTCTTCTGTTAGATTACATCATCTGAGTATGGACAAAATACACAGACCAAATGTGTTAGACATGTTCGGGCAATGGTTTTGCCTCTTTCAGTCACCGCAGACCAAAGGCACCACATGGAGGTGTTTTTTTCTCTAGGAAACACTTGAATTACACATTTAATAGGTGTTTTGTTTTTTTAATTTCTCATTTTGTAACAATCAAGGCAATATATCAGTTTAATAAGTCGTTCCATTGAAATAACATCCTATTTATGCTCTTTGGGAGTCTGGTGATAAATAGATTCTTTATAACACTACCTCTTATGTTGAGTTTTCATAGGCAGATATTTATGCTTCTGTTGACCTCATCTCCTGAGAAGCCTGTAAGAGTTCATGAGGGGCAACACACACACACACACACACACACACACTGAGGTGAGCTGAGGTAAGAAAACCATTCATGGAACCCACACATCACCATTTTACTCTATTTCTATCCCGAAATGTAAGTCTCATCATGTAAATAATTATATAAATATTAATAAAAAGTTCATTTTAGTGCATTAACAACAGATGTAGTTCATGTTGGAATTTTTGAGGCCAACTAAGATATTACTACAGGACTTTTATGAATGGACTTATTGTGTCCGTTTAACCCCCGTTTACCGGAGGAAACTCCAGTACCTGGAGAGCTATGCACTGGATGTTGTTTTCCAGATGTCAAGACTAACAGTATTGATTTATCAGGTAGGTGGGAGTAGGTGGGAGTGGGATGTTCCATAGTTGTAAAATGATTGAAGTTTACTCGTACAAACTGTCCTGACTGTGATTTTACACCACACTTCACATGGGATGAAGTCAATCTATAAAGTAGAGAATAAGACACTAACCAAGATAATAAATAATCTTCCTGTTGTAATTCACCACCTCAAGTGGAGTGGCTGCAGAGAACATCATAGAGTACGAAGACTCGCCCCAGCCCCAGTCTGTCCGTGAGTCCAGCCAGCGTTATCTCAGGACACCTCAGGATTTACTGTGTCCTGACTCAGTGTTGAGTCACAAAGTTGCAATGCTACAGACCCACTGCATCTGCCTACACACACCTACTGTAAATTTGGAACCATAGCTGCTGAAATGCACTTGGTGATTTGTCATTATCTTTTACCATTGTTGAGTTGTTCCTCGCTTATTACTTGTGTGCTTTGTACTGGTAATTGAAGAATTCTATCTGTTACTTTCTACTACCTTTGGCTAAATTCTAAACTCTAAAACAATTTAATGCATTTTAGAGTTCGATCCATAATAAACCATACAAAGAAAATATATTCAAATGTTAACTGTCACAGAGAAACAAAGTGAGCAGAACATCTTTTTTTTAAACCCAGAATGTTTAACTCACCGTGATGGTGCTGACAGTCTGTAGTTGCTTTACAGCCAAGTGCTACTGCAGCAATAGAATTGTTGGAGTGAATAATGCTGCTGAAGGTTTGGCACAGTCTGCAAGAAAACCAAGCAAGGACACTGTTTGACCATCTTAAAGCTTCCTTTTTACTCTATTTTATTGACTTTCTGCTTCTGTGTTCTGCTGGGATCTGTTGAAGAAATGTAAGACTTTAAAGGGCATTGAACCAGTAACCGTCACTGGTGTATGCTGGAGATGTGCACAAAATGGATTCCTTAAAGACACTAGAGATCTTTTCTAATGATCCGGTCCGTACGGTCAATACCATCCTGATTACAGATAATATCATATTGTCTTTATTTAAGAACCGGTGGTCTTTTATGTGACATTCTGTTCATGCTAACCCCAGGAAAGGTAATGATAGCGATACTTAGTGAGTTGAGAGTAATGTAATGCAGCCAAACCATTACTGCTGTGTTAGTTTTTAGTTCCTCAGTAGAGCCACTAATGGAGTGAAGCACTGTATTACATAGGACACTGTGCATTTGGATTAATCTATAACACTAATACTTTATTTAATATCTTGAATCAATCCCTGTAAAACCAATAATAATAATCAGCCCTTAGTATGGATATCTGTTGTATTTGTGGGAAAAACCTACTATTATTTGTTACTGTCTTGTAAAAACCCTTATTTTTAGCACTGCATTCACTGAAACCAAACAAGGTAGTGCTTTTCACACCAGCAGCCATGTCAGGTAGTGTCTCTGTACGCTGAAGAAAGACAGTGGGTCAACCAGGGTGCAGGGATAGTCACCACTGCCTAAGGGACAGGAAATGACGATAGATTAGCCAGAAGGAGACAGAAGGAGGAGAAACCTGATGATTACAATTTTTAAAAATAGCAAAAAGAAAAAACAAGATGGTAACGGTTAGCATTTAGTACTAACCTGGCCTCTAATGACGGCCAACCTATCATCTCAAGTTCTATGCCATTCAGCATTTTCTCAGTGAGGATATGAATGGTCATGCAGAGAGCTGTCAAAGAGGAAGTTATTGATTGTCCTGGCTGCCCTTTGTTTGAGTTAACACTCAGTGGTCTGGGTGTTTTACAGCCGTGTGTAGGGATGAGTCATGAGAGAGCAGGCGCAAATGATGAGCTTTCTGTGTAGACAGAGCCCTATTGTCATCTGTGCAGTACAGCTTTCTGCTTTCAGCAGAGGCTTCCTGCTCACTCTGCAGCCTTGTTAAAAACAATACCAGCCAGATTTGTACAGACAAGTGACCTGGACCTTATTTTCTTTGCTTTTTTTTTTACCTTTCTGGAAATCAGGTGCTCTAGCAGATTCTGCCAGCATTTGTTGCCTTTGCAAAAACTGTAGTTTGTGAATTCTGTGAAGGAAATGGCACAGGCGACATGAGTTTTTTCTTGGGGGGGGGGGGGGGGGGGGGGGCAGAGGGGCGCGCTCCCTGGGGCTCTCCATGGGTTTGAAATGAGATCATTATGCAACAATGGTGCTTCTTGTTTGCTAGTACAGAGGTTATTTTAGATATGCCCATTGTAAATTTCTGTTTTCCTGGAACCACTCCTTAGTTAACCTGCTAGGGTTCCTCCACCCACTTACATGTGTGACAAGGAAGGCAAAGTAGTTTAGTTTTTCAAGCCAGACAACTGGGTAAATGATCCCACTATATGTCGAGTGTACTTATTTAAAATTGTAATTAAAAAATAGATCTGGTATACTGAATTGGTATAACATTTGTTACATTTGGTAAAAAGCTCATTTTAGACTCCAGTAGAAAAATAAAAGTGGGCCATTATTTACAGGAAAGTAGAATACTGTTAGTGCTCAATATTGAAATATGTTATTTTTAATGTAGATAAACATTACGTATTTCACTCGGTTTATCATATTTTTTTACCTTCTATTTTTTTTAGTCTGTTCTGCACTAACCTGAAATCAGTGAGTAGCGGATTTCGTCGTAGCTGCATCGGTGTCCTTAGCAGCAGGCGGCCACCGTCTCCAACGGGGATAATATGAACCTCACAAACAAAGCGGATCCTGCAGTTGCCATGGAAACAGGAGATTGAATCAGAGAATTGCTATTTGCCCTCTCATGCCTCCCGTATTTGTAGTTCCAGTAATTCTTTGAATGTACAGTATATGGTCAGGTTTACGCCCATTGTGTTTAAACATTGTTTTCATAAAGGTGAAAATAAGACAATAGACAATTGTGTCCGTAGGTGTGAAACAAACCTGCCATTGAAAATGAATGTAATCACTGGATTAATGTATTCCATCATATATATATATATATGTGTGTGTGATTCGTTTCACGCTCTCTAAGTTTAGCATTTGGGTTCCGTTTTAAGGGCTAACTAAAGTACTTGGACATTGTGTTCTTTCAGGTGACAGAGCTGAATGAAGCACTAACCAACGAGGAGAGGAACCTGCTCTCTGTGGCCTATAAGAACGTGGTGGGAGCAAGGCGCTCATCCTGGCGTGTCATCTCCAGCATTGAGCAGAAGACGTCGTCTGACGGCAATGAGAAGAAGATCGAGATGGTCCGGGCCTATCGGGAAAAGATCGAGAAAGAGCTGGAGTCCGTGTGCCAGGATGTGCTCAACCTGCTCGACAACTTCCTGATCAAGAATTGCAACGAAACACAGCACGAGAGCAAGGTGTTTTACCTGAAGATGAAGGGTGACTACTACCGTTACCTGGCCGAGGTGGCCACAGGGGAGAAGAGAGCCGCTGTGGTGGAGTCCTCCGAGAAGTCCTACAGCGAGGCCCACGAGATCAGCAAGGAGCACATGCAACCCACCCATCCCATCCGCCTGGGTCTGGCCCTTAACTACTCCGTCTTCTACTACGAGATCCAGAATGCCCCAGAGCAGGCGTGCCACCTGGCCAAAACCGCCTTTGACGATGCCATCGCCGAGCTGGACACCCTCAACGAGGATTCCTACAAAGACTCCACTCTCATCATGCAGCTGCTACGAGACAACTTGACGCTGTGGACGAGCGACCAGCAGGATGACGAAGGAGGAGAGGGCAACAACTAAAGAATCTGAAACCTCAATATGCCAAAACAACACAACATGCTCGGTCATTATGACAAAAATACATAAAAAAAAATAGTGTTCAAAAAATCCTAGAAATTAAAAAAAATGGGAGGGTGGGACGGGTGGTGAAACATCAGTGGCTAATTGAGCTGATGTTACTAACATTGCTGCTGTTATTTTACGATTTAAATGATAAAAAAAAAAGTAGGAGGAGGGAAGACGATATTAGTTTGACAAATAACCAACAATTAAGATCCCAACCCTGCCCTTAATAGCCTCTGACGCATTTGCCAAACACCACTTTAGAAGAAAGTGGTATGCCATTCATCACAGTGTGGGTTTGAGGTAACGAAACCTTTGGACCTGTGACGACCGGTCCAATCATGCAAATGAATCTGAGCTGTCCTTATTGTGATTAGTGAGGGGTGGAGCATTAACAAAGATGAGTCCCCACGCTTACGCAACAAGAAATTTAACATAACTTTTGAATGTCATGGCATTGTTTAGTGATAGAGAGTGAAGGAGACGGCGATGGGCTTTAGGAGAGGCAAACATCAATACACAACGTACGTACGGCGCATCTTTAGTTTCACCACATCGTTATTGCTGAGCGGAAAGCAGGTTGTGTCTGTCACTGAGGAAAACATTCAAAAAAAAAGAAAAAAAGAAAAAGAAATAAATGAAGCGTTTATATTTGCTTTGTGTCAGGTGTGTGTCCCACTCACAGTCATACTGTAACGAAAAATACAAACTCGTTAAGTAAAGTTAGTGCAGCTTGTTCCTCTCATGTGCTGATGTGCTTTATTGAATAAATTAACTGTTTTTGGACACCCAATTTCTATTGTCAGTATTGTTGTTACTGTACCAACTTCCATTGGGTCGTTTGTAGAGGACTGTTTCGCTACTATTTGGATAGCAATGCCAAAAAAAGTCAAGTTAAAAATTAGCGTCCGCCATCTTTCTCGACTTAGGATCACCGAATCTGCACATGTAACTACAGACTTGATTCGTGAACTCAGTTAGAGCACACACAAAAAATGTGAGCTGGGAGCTCACGAAGGAGGTACGAGGTTTGTGGATTCCCTTTGTTTTCACTTTCTTCTGAATCGAGAAATGCACTTGCCTACCATACTGTTTCTTCAGTGTAAGATGATAACTGCTCCAGTATCCTCCATCATACAATATTGTGCATGCTGGTGATGTATTTATACAGTAGCTTCAATTCATTAACTTATACTGTAGATGTTATGTATTATTCTGAACATGGAATTACTAGAATCAGATTATTTACTATTTATTTCTTTTTATTGCGATTGTTAGCTAGCTTATTTTAATCTGTGTTTACTCCATTTGCTGAAGTACGCTATACCAAACCCGTGATTGTTAACAATAAATTGATCTGTTACAGACATCAATATGGTGATATGCAGTTCTTGGCAGGGTTGCGAAAAAAAGTGAAGGAAATATTTGCGTGTGATATTTGACAACGGGAGTGGAAGGTGTTTGTGACATTAGCTGAGAAAACTGACGCCTCACATGACATGTATTCACCGCAGATTGATGCAGCGTTGGGGAAAGATTAGTGAGTAAAAGTGCAACACGTAGTAAATCACTTCCGATATTCAAACTAGAAAATGCACTCACTAACGTGTCTGCTACAAACATGACAAAGAGTGAAAACAACATTTACCCCTCGTGGACGCATTCGCCCAAGAATCACTGTGGCCCGGCTAATTACTTGGTAAACAGCTGTTGGGAAGTTCAACTCATTACACCAAAGTGACTGTGTGGGAATTGAAGGGTAAATGTTAATTTTGTGGGTTTATGAACTGTGAAGGAATATAATTAGACAAAGTTATGACTGTTTCCCAATTATAAGACCCATTTTGACCAGGACGGCCAGAGGAAAGAAAAAACAAATAGACACATTAGGGAGTAAAAACGTCCTCTCAAAGATAAAAAAAAAAAAAAATCACAGAAATTATTGTTCCGATAAAATGAATGAAACCTTTTTACAAAAACGTACATTTAAATTAGTTAAAAAAAAGTCCACCGAGGCTACTGTAATACTCAGCTCTAACGTATTTTGCGAGTTTTTATACTATTATTATAGTATATTATAATACTCAGCTCTAACGTATTTTGCGACATAAAGCATGGTCTTACCTGCGTCTTTATTAAATTTACATCTACCTCTGATCATCTGTGCTACTAAACAACCATTTCAAAATCTATCTTTAGAACTTTCATGAATTTTCTAATAGATCGTCTTTTTTTCCTGCATGTCAACTCTCCAACTCTCTAACCTTCATCCAATATATAAAAAAACTATCTCAGGACATTCATTACCATCTCCACCTTCCCTAGGTTACACCACGATTAAACATTACACCACGATTTAAAAAAAAAATGCTACAAAAAATTTAAGCTAACAGCTCTGGAGACAAGACTGCACTCGTTTCTGACATATTGACAGGGACCCCAGTCCCCGGACAGGTTTGGTACCAGCCTGCAGCGATATAATTAATAATTTACTTAAGTTAAAGCAGTTTTCCAAAATAATGTCTTTCCTATGTTAACAGGATCAGCACTGTGATTTGTGATTGTGTTTTGAAAAGTCATCAAGCCTTAAATATCCATCAATCTGTCAGCTTCATAGATGGAGTAGAGTCAGGTGCTACTACTGGTCTCCAGTACTTCCTGGGATTGGTCTACTGGTCTACTGGCCTACTGGTCTACTGGTCCTTGGTACAGTAATAGGTTGGGAACAGCTGTGTTGAATAGTTACTCTGTGTAATGATTCGGAAATAAGTCTTTTCTCCTCCAAATCCTTTTAACGCATTAATACTATACAAAATCAATGTTTGCTAATAAAACAAAAACATTCATGCTAGAAATGTAACCATTACAGAAAAAATTACAGAAGAAGTCAAATGTGTCTGATTTCTAAAAATAATCCCGTTATTTCCTGCTTCTGTGACATTTTTCTGTGAACAGAACTGGGTTAGCAAATATGAAACCACCGCATGTCATCACGAGCTCCATGGATGAACATCTTCAATACGTTTACACCAGATCAGTGACAAGTGGGTTTGTGGTTCAACATAAGGTAAATCTTCATATCGACCCGCTGCCACGCCCAGTCTTTATCTGGTATTTCTTGTTTATTACACACCTGAACTTTGGTACCAGTTCAAACGAGACTACAGCAGCAGGCCTTATCAGTGTACACAGAGTATTCAGTGTATACAGTTAGTACTGTACATGTAGTATCACAGGACAGGTCTCTAGATGTTTTTCAGGGCAAGTCTAAGAATCCACAATTACTTAGTGACCTTTAACCTTAACTAAGTGACCACAGTGACCATAGTGACCTCGACTGTTCTAGACGGAACCTGATGGTTGACGGACAATTTTATACTCTCTATTTCACTGGTGAATATATAACACAAGAGCAGGATTTACAATGGGTGGGGAACGGTGTTGGCTACTTATTGATAAAGCAAACAGCAGCAGCTGACGTCAGTATTTTTATTTCCACAGTTTAGATCTGGCCAAAACAGCTGCATTTATACATTTTCTACATTTTAAATGACACTACAGATGAGCATCAACAACAATATCACTCCTCCGTCCTCAATACATTTCATACTCAAAGCACAAAGACAGAAGGTGTTCACTGATTTAATGGGCCTTTATTTGCTGCCATGGCAACATGAAGGACTTCCTGTGCAGAGCCAACAAAAAAAAAAGCTTCTCCCCGTGATAGAAAAAAATGACTGAAGATGAAGAGATCGTGTATTGATCTCAAACATAGTCATTCCAGATGAAACTAGTTTTTTTTTTTTTACAACTAAATCAACTATCTATGTGTGATGTTTAAGGCAACGTGTTTGTGTTTTTATATATTGCAGTATTTGATATATTCTCAGGCACAGTGATGATGAACAACGACATTTTTGAAAAGACAGTTTCTGAAACATAAAGTTAACGTTGAGTTACAAGTTCTATTGCTCTATGCTACATCATAATACAGTTTGTTGTTATGCTATGCTATTTTTACGTATCTCATGCAAAAACAACTACTTACAATAACAACACTATAATAACTAGCACTGCAGCTACTACAGCTACTCCGTAGCTGCTACCTCCCTCCCTCCCTCCATCCCTCCCTCCCTCCATCTACGTGTACTAACATTACTAATGCTTTTGCTACTACCTACTGTGGTCACTGAAACTACTGTACTTCTACAAGTACTACTACAGAAAATCTACAAATATCATTACCACTGTCATATGTGTGCCTTTACGTGAGGCAGTACTTTCTGGTGTACAGGCTGCAAAAATGGTTGATTGTCAGAGACTGGCATGAATAATTTAGCTCTGTGTTTTTTCTGGAAGGAAGTTGTGACTCAGAGGAAAGAGCATAGGCTGAAACGCTAAGTGGTTTAGAGCGTGCAAAAGCAAACGTCCGTCTGCCCTTCATCACATATTACTGCAGCTTCCAGAGAGCAAGTATGACTTTGGATGTGTACCATGTGTTAGTAGTACTCAAGTGCTATCACTACTGCTGCTACAACTAACATTGTAGCAGCAGTATAGTATAGTATAGTATAGTAAGCAAGTCCAATGATGGGGAAATTCACAGTGTGAGTCGTTGCAGCCCCCACAGGCTGCCACAAGAGGTGCCATTAGGGATATGTGATTCCTCTGGTGCTCTAACCCAGGACCCTCTGTGGGTAAGGCAGACATGTGGCGGGTGTGCTAACCGCTACACTGTGGAACTACTAACATGTCAATTGAAATGCTAATGCTACAAATACATTTCAAATTATCAACAATACATTTCTATTATCATTGCTGGACATACACGCAGAGTAGCAAAATAATACATTTTCATTTATTCCCACAATGGAGCAGTGGCAGTGGTTGGCACAATGGCATTTCTGTTCAGTTTTGGCCTGTGTTACTAGATGTGACCACACGATGGTGCTAAAGAAAAGGACCGTACGTGTTTAGGAAAAGGATTGGAACTCATTATGTGCATATTTAATTTTTACTTGTTCGTTGAGGACAAAGTAAATACATGGAAGTTTTCTAAACACAGGGTTGCGTAGGTCACTGCACTGTCGTTTCAAACATTGTGCTCAGTTCTTTAGTATTCCAGTCTCCAGCTGTTTTAAAATTAAAAACTTGGCTCATACTGGTGAGAAAGTGTAAGACTGCACACCTGGTATAAATATATTATTCATGACATTCATGTACATACATATTTGTACATAAAAAACAAAACAAACAAATAGGCAGAAAACTAACTATTAGCATATCTCCTTTTCTTTCTTTCTTACATATAAGCATAGGAAAAACAGGCAGCTTGTGAATAGGACAGTTCAAAAATACTCTTGGCATTATACAGTGAGAAACAGGGCTTAGCCCCAAGACCTGAGCTAAGGACAGACACTTTTGGGGGCCATATCTAAATGTGTGCAATTTGTGCAACAGAAAAGACAAAATGCATTATTCTCAAGTTTCCCTCATCAAAAAAAAATATATTCACATTTTCTTAGCTAAAAAAAAGGTAATTATATTTAACACTACAGTGAACTTTTAATGCTTTTGAGATATTAAATCCTGTTCTTTGTTCAAGGCGTTCAGGAATATGGAAGAGTGAACGAAACAAACTATTAGAATCAGTGCTCCATGATTTTGAGCTTATATTAAACTAAGTTTTACACTGGATAACAAATAAAACTATAGGGACAGTAGTGACTCGCTGGTTAAGGAACCAAATCAGCAGGTTTTAGGTTTTAGTCTACCAGCTGCCAAGTGTGTTGATCTGAACATGGCACCTTCATGGAGAACAGAAAATACGGTATTCACATTTTCTTAGCTAAAAAAAAGGTAATTATATTTAACACTACAGTGAACTTTTAATGCTTTTGAGATATTAAATCCTGTTCTTTGTTCAAGGCGTTCAGGAATATGGAAGAGTGAACGAAACAAACTATTAGAATCAGTGCTCCATGATTTTGAGCTTATATTAAACTAAGTTTTACACTGGATAACAAATAAAACTATAGGGACAGTAGTGACTCGCTGGTTAAGGAACCAAATCAGCAGGTTTTAGGTTTTAGTCTACCAGCTGCCAAGTGTGTTGATCTGAACATGGCACCTTCATGGAGAACAGTGAAATAGTGAGGTAACAAGGATCAGCCGTTCAGAACAGAGGAGACTGTGGAAGAGAGGTGAAGAATAGAGTGCAGGCAGGATGGAACAGCTGGAGAAAAGTGTCAGGAGTGATCTGTGTCAGCTAAGGTGAAGGGAAAGGTTTACAGGACGGTGGTGAGACCAGCCATGATGTATGGTTTAGTGTTCAGTGGTTCTCAACCTTCGATCGAACCCCAGGGGTTCGGTGAGTCAGTCTCAGGGATACGGCAAGCACAAGACACACACCTGACTCATATGATTCCTGATGACACGCCCCCCGCTTGGCCATCACCGCAGGGTTGGTTGTATGTGCATATGAAAGGGGTGAGGTTCAGTACCTCCAGCAATATCTGTCAGTGTAAAAAGAGAACACACGGTCACTGGAACATAACACAGCATCAAGGCGTGGTGGCATCTTCCTATCTCAGTGCAACTGTTTCATCCTCAGATGTATAAGATACCCCATTGTGTGATACCGTCTGTTGTGGAACCAGGAACATTAAGGAAAAAAAGGGGAGTGCTGATCTAAGCAGTAAGAGCTAGATCGATCAGATGAATGAATCAATGAGAACACAATAAACAGCAACAGTAATCTTTAAAATAACAGCGAGGTGGAATATCAGAGAAACACAGGGTACACAGCCAGATGGAGACTTGACTTGAATTACTGCCACGATCGAGAACTACAACTACATGTGTCATAAACGACAGCAGTATACTATACTGTATAGTGAGTGTACTGGACTGTTCAGATGTGCTCTGCTGGATAAATGCACATCACATTTCTGTGTGTTAAATTTTGATAAAAATAAAGGTGTTGTTTTAAGCATAAATGCAGTACATGTCATGGCAAATAGATGGCAGTAGATTTAGGTTTATCCTGTTCACTTTTTTCTAAGGTCCTGCCTGAATCCCAAAGAAAAAAAAAGATCTATTAAAAACAATGTCTTACCAGGAGGTTAGTGCACAGGACGTACCTTGTTCACATGAGCTTTCAGTATTGGGAACACTGCCAGAATACCAATAATAATTAATACAATGAACAAAGTAAGCAAAATCCAAATTGAATATCTGGAGTGTTCATGTTTAGCATCAGCTGAAGACTGACACCTGCAAAGAGAGATGGACAATTTCACTACATGATGCAAACACTTGAACACAGATGAAGTACCAGGTGCTGGTGTCAGCGTCCACAGTGTTTCTGAATATGTTTGGATGAATACTTTTGTTTGTTTTTACACCTCAACTTTAGACCAGATCACTCCAGCCACACGCAAAATTCAATGTTCTGAACACTGTTCATGTCCACTGTTACAGTCACTTACTGTGGGTGAGGTAGAGACACCGATTTCCCAGCAGGACAGGCTGCACATTCTGTGTCATTCAAGGCTGTTCCTGTTCAAATGCATCACAGTCATACACACAGTCATGTATATGTCAGGTATAGCACAACTTCAACTGTGCACTGTCCTTTCTTTACACTTAATTTTTTAATTACCATTCGTTTTGATGAACTGTCCTGGTGGACACACATGTGTGTGTTTCTGTGCAGCTTCACAGTGATCATCTGACAGCCAACTTGTACAGAAGAATCCGTCCAGAGGTTTACATGTTGTATCCCTGATGCCAACACAGTTAGAGGATATCTCCAGGCCCAAATCTGTAAAGAATACATTAAAACAAATGAAAAAAACACTGTCTTCAGAAGACATGGACTCAGTAAGAAGACATCAGTTTCTCTGAGCTGAGGTGTTTTGTAATCTTTAATTTTTATATGGTAGAAACATCTGAGCTATAAATTGATCACCTAAAAAAAGAAAAATCTGCAAAGACAAGTCCATCCACTCACAGGTTCAACTGGTAAAATTAAGTAAATTTGGTACAAACTATGAAGGTTTTACCTGGATTACACTCTGTACAGTTGAAGCACTCTTTGAGTCCATTGGAGACATTCATAAAGGTTCCAGAGTAACACTTATAACAAACAGGGTCCCGCGAAGGAGATTTGCAATCCTTTTTGACAAAGAACCCTAGGGATTAGATCAATATATGAAGTTGTGATTTTGCAGCCTTTGTGTTACCATGAGAAAAGCACAACTAGATCAGACTAGAGAAGAGTAGTGTTAACAAATCAAATTTAAGACTATTCTAAGAATATACATGTTTTAACCCTAATTAATATTGTTTGCTTACTAATACTGCTGAATTAAGATGAAGAAACAAAGTTACCGAAGTCACACTTTTTACAGCACACAGTGCCGACTAAATACTGCAGATCAGAACAGGTCTCCGATCTTACAGCAAGACTCATAAACACCTGTGAAAATCAGACAGAAAGAAAATCAATTTCAAAGACTTGGCTGAAATTACACATGATGAATGGAGCCACGGGGAAAGACTAGAGGTTGAAGCACTGGTATAATGATATTGCCATGTCAGTGCACTAGAGAGGAGCAGGAAAAAAATCAAGTCAAAATAAAAATGTAACTGCAATGACACAAAAACAGGTTTTTAAATACAACCAATGGTGGCAGTCTGAAGCCCTGAACATGACATTTTAAACATTACAAACAGTGTTAACGGCAGTGTTATCCAACACCTCAATGCATCCACTGAAGTCTGCTTCCCAAAAGAAAAGATTTAGTTTAAGAATTTTGTTTTGAAAAGGTTACACGTTACCAAAATGAATGCAGCTATTGCAGTCAATTTCGAGATGTTCAGGTGCATTGACAGGTTTGCAGAAAACATCCCATTCACACGTGCAATGAGAAATGGTTTGAATTCTGGGGGGGAAAAAATCAAATGCAAAATTAAAAAAAAACAGGAGAAAATGTTTTGATCGAGCAGCTGAGTTCACAGTTGACCTGAAGCAAAAAATAAAGGCTGCTAGTTCAAAAGCTAGTCCATGAAATACTTACTCTCCTTGTATTTTCTAAGGCAGACCTGGCAATTTATCTTGAAGGTAGTTCCAGAAGATAAGTCATCCACTGATCAGAAACATCTGTGAAGAACAAAATGTTCAACAGTAAACAGTTTACAATTAGGAAGATACAGTGTGTAGACAATACTGTGAAAACACAAACGTTTAAAAGCTGAAGTAAATATTGTGGACAAGTAAAAAACAACACTATACATGTAGCTGAGTAGAAAAGTACTAAAATCAAACAGCAAATCAAGTTACATGTTACCATCATGTTTGTAACCATTCCTAAATTTCCCAAAGGGAATTCCCAAGGGATTCATAAAGATCTATCTATCTGTCTATCTATCTATCTATCTACCTGTCTATCTATCTATCTACCATCACAGTGAATGTCAAGATGGTTCTTCCTAATGAGGTGGCACAAACACACACCATCTCAATCAGATCGCGGAACAACCAAGTATTAAGATCTGGAACAAAAAGAGCAAATATTTAATATAAGTCTAAACAATTACAAAAGATTTAAGTCATACTCACAGTATTAGCCACTTTTGACCCTCATTAGTCCACACTTAGTTTTTGTAAAATGACAAGTTCAACTAATCCACACCACTTGACATCATAACTCATTTATATTCATTGCTAATTTCATCGACTGATAGTTTTGGTCAAAGACTTTGTCAATAAAAACATGAACAAAAAAGTTATACGAAGCATAATCATAAAAACAAAATGCGTTGACAAATAAGTCATCTAATAAAAACAAGAGATAATCTGGTAACCTCAAATTCCAATCTTGGTTTCCCTGCATAAACAAAACAGAGGAACGTTCATAATGATATTCTATGTCTCATCATTACACCATAAACTGAGAGCTGATTCCAATCAGAGAAACCTTTGCAGAATAAGGACTAAATCAAATTAACTGTCACAATGAACATTGCTTAAACAGTAATGAACAAACAATGAATGATGTCATTTTCATGTAGACTACAATGTAGATTATGACATTTTGACCAAATAAAACGCCTCTGATAACATGCTCATTTGGTGGCCATTACAGAATATCACTGGTCTGGGGGTCATCTCATTCATTTTTCATACATTTGTTAATAATCTCTGTTGAATACATAACATTTATGATTTTAAGAACTCCTTGACAACATGCATATACGCTCTGCCTAAAAATTGTTAATTCCAGTTGTTTACTATAACAAGTGTTAGGAGAATAAAAAGCTCAATAACTCACCCTGGTCGTGTAGTGCCGGAGAAATTATGTTCCGGGTTTTGCACATTGGCGGATGTTACGTATCAGAAAAAAAAAAAGCTATCAACCAGCTACTGGCCTAGCACGATCACGTGTCCTGGTGATCACGTGTTTACGTAAGTTTGACGTAACTCGTTTTTTTTAATGAAGTTGAGATCGTGTAGCTCCCAGACGTCGGAGCGAGATGAAACGATAATCGGGTTCAACTTATGGCCTATTTGGGTTTTTAATGAGGCACGGTTATATCTGAGATCACTTCGTAACACGAAGAAATACAGCCGAAAGTATTAAACATCAACCAGCTACTCGATTGGCCTAGCACGATCACGTGTCCTGGTGATTACGTGTTTACGTAAGTTTGACGTAACTCGTTTTTTTTAATGAAGTTGAGATCGTGTAGCTCCCAGACGTCGGAGCGAGATGAAACGATAATCGGGTTCAACTTATGGCCTATTTGGGTTTTTAATGAGGCAATTAGTTATAATATTAAATTATTCTCTCAACAATAATCACAACTATTGTCAACAAACAATTTAAAATACTAACTACAGTAGGGCTTCGAGATATGAGTTTAACCCGTTCTACAACAGCACTCGTAGGTCGATCCACTCGTATCTCGGTTGCATTTTCCCCATTAAAAATAGCTAAAAGTCAATTAATTCGTTCAAGCCCCCAGAAATATACTAATAATTAGTTAAATTAAAATTCTACATCTTAACATCAAAAACATAGATATAAACAAACATATTGATAATATAAAATAATTAAGAAAACATTTTATATTATTGTTATAAAAATGGGTAAAATAACCCAGCCAGGGACAGTGAGCGAAACAGCTCCAGAGAAGGACTGGGAGTCGATTCAATAAAGATGATAGAAAAAGAGAGAGAGGGAAACAGAGAAATAAAGTGACAGGTAAAATAACCCAGCAAGGAACAGTGAGTGCGACACTGAGGAAAACTTTGCGAAAGTTATATCATATCGTATCGAAGTATCGTATTTCAGGTAGCTTGTATTGCGAAGCTGTATATTTCAAATCCACTATTTAATAAACCTTTTTTAGCATTAACAAAATGTTTTGATACTGAATGGCATACATAAACGTTCTTTGTCTAAAAATAAAATATAGTCGAGGCAATGACTGTAGCAAATTATATTTCCTTGAAATAGGGACGTTTGTAACTGAAAAAAGAAAGACATATTTTTTAATGTCTTTATTGTTATTGTTGTTTGTTTGTATTCCACAGACAAAGAAGGTGGAGCCAGCCTATTGTTACTGATTATAAAAGGAGAAATGGTGAAAAGCCTTGGTAACATTCCTATGTACTTTAAATTACACAGTGTATTCAAAGCAGATAGAGGAGGATTATGTCACCGATGCAGATGTGTTCACACAATGTGTTCAGCTTGGAGTAGGGGCAATTAGCTCAAACTGGGGAAGGCTTATAGAGACAAAGTTATTTACTGATTGAATGTGACTTTCACTTTGTGTGTGTGTGTGTGTGAGAGAGAGAGAGAGAGAGCAACACAGTTCTGTTTGTCGTTTTACTTCTTCACCACACCACTTTTGTCATCCACGGTGACAGGTATTGTGATCTCTGAGGACTGAATGGCTGGTTTGATAAAAGGAGCTTCGATGGTGAGCACACCTTCAGGAGACAGGGAGGAGGTCACCTTCTCGATGTTAGCTGCAGAGGGCAGGCTGGAGAGGAGCAAAACACCACAGTTAGTTCAGAGAGCAAGTGTAGAAAAATGAATTTAGTCGATACCATCCTCCAGGTGGCAGCAGAGATGTAGGAAGCTTCAAACTCAGAGACAGAGTGTACTTGTGGAAGATAAAGATGGTGCCTGATGCTGCTGCTTTACAGAGCATGAAATTAAGACGTCAGCAGCAGCCAGGCCTCTACAGGCCAAACCAAGATGAGAGACAAGGATGCAACACAATGATAAAGAAATCGTAGCCATGCAGTCTTGGCCTGAGGAATGCCACCATTAAACAATCCCAGTGTTATTGAAAACATTTGATCTGTATTGTTTCTTTGGATTCACATTTAAAAATGTTTCCCTTTAACATAAAGGAATTTAAATGCTGAAAACATACGTGTATTTCCTGGTGAAGCTCCTTGATATGAAACCGTGCTCATCCTTCCTCTCCTCATGTTTGCCTAAAGACACAAGAAGAAATTATGTTACCTACAGGACAACACCTTTCTGTAGTTGAAAAAAAGAAAAATGTCAGCATCACCAAACTATATAGTATAGAATGGTGAAAAGGGAGGTATAAAGATGGACACAACAATATTATATGTCAAGATTACCTTTGCCGAAATGAGTTACCATTATATACTATACTATTATGTCTGTGTTATGCATATTTGTAATGTATTTTTGGAAGACTGTAAGAACATGTCTTTATGGGTAAGAATGCATAATCAGCATTAAAGACCACTTTAAAATACATTTAAACATACATCAAGACCACTTAACTGAAAATGATATTTTCCCATTGTGTGGTAAAAACAATTGTGTTGACTTTCCTGATGGTAACGCTAATACTTAATCCCTCAATAACTCTATGTTAACCCCTAGGTTCAGCTGTTCTGTTTTTAATCTTGGTGACAGTAAGCATTCGTTTTGGTCTATCTTAACTCTAAGTCTAAAGCTTTGGTTATCACTGCCCAGCCTCTCAACCAGGAGACGCAGTATTTTCCACAGTCCACAACTAAACCCTGTGCCTGGCCTTCATCCAGTTTTCCTTTTAAAGAAGCAGACGCTGGTTGAGTGAGGGCAGAGGGGCTGAAAGTGACTCCGAGAAAAAGCAACGCCATTAAATCATCTCTTCCACACCTCCATGTTTGCATTCTGCTGCTCTGGTTCTTGTAAACACAATGAAGGAGGGTTTTTTTAAACATTTTTTTAACTGATCTCATCTGTGAGCTGCTGTAAGACTCCCACATGTCCAAATGTTTTGGATTGTTTTCCATGCTCCCACCCTACAGTTTAGTGTATCTCATTAAATAGTCTCAGGATGTTGCGTAACTCTGCAGCAATGCATCTGCTTTGTTTTTGTGAGACAAAGTATTTCTGCCTCTTCATGTTGCTTTTGTTCATTTTTGTAGCTGCTGTTGTAAACCAAATGTGAATTTAACAGCAGTTCAGTTCACTCTACAGTCTACAATGCATTTGAATGCACTTAGGTTACCCTATATTTACATTAAATGATCCAAATGTGAGAAACACTTCAGTATAGGTTTGTGCTATAAACACAAGATTTGTCATTACTTTACATGCTGAAGGAAAGTTGAACTGTGACTTTAACCAATTTGGGTGAATCCTGCTTCAGGTTTGGTCAATGGAGGACTGAAATGAACTTCAACATCCAACTAAAATGCCAGAATGTTATTAGCATACTTCAGGACTCAGTGTCAGGATGACCGCTCACCTGAGATTTCAACCACACCATCCTTTGTTTTCACCAATAGCTCCTCAGGTGAAAAGTGGTTGACATCCAGAGTCACCTTCCAGTTGTCCTGGGTCTGTTTGATCTCTGACATTCCGCTGCTCATCTGGCGGGAAAGGGCACGGGCCTGCTGGTCCATCATGGGTCCAGGGAGCATCATAGGGGCGTGGGGGACCATGGGAGTCATGCTGGGGGCCATGATAGAGGGCCTCATGTAACCTGGCCAGTGGGTGCTAGGGAATGTGGCAAAATCCTCCGGTAGTGCTGGCATGCCGAAGCACTGATCAAAAAGGCGACTGCTCTGGTGCCAGTCGTGGAATGGATCCCAGCTCGGTGTGCGCAGCATGGAGAAAGGAATCCTTCTCTCGGCCATAGATGAGTTGTTTAGGCAGCAGCAGTGTTGTTGTAAGGGAGAGTAGCTGACTGTAGCCCTTTAGCTCCGTTTGAAAATGTTTTTCCCAAACTGTTGCCTGCCTCTCAGCTGAGAGCTTTTATACCCACACAGACAACCCTATCAGTAAATTCCTGCCCCCTGACTCAAGCCTCCACAGCTCACACTCCAAACATAACTTCAGAAACTACTAGACTGTCTATTTGTAGCGAACAGAACACACCAATGGAATCCAACAGGGGATTGGGCCTTCCTGTGACAGCTGCTCTGTTAATCCTGCCCCCCAGACACTCCAATGAGCTAGAAGAATCCAGCAGCCTGCTTGAGGGTCAACTAGCATATACTCATTCAGTGTTAGATAGGAATAACGTGGCATTACTCACCACGGTGTTTTTATACAGGCTATAGCATGACGTAAAGTACAGTAGTTCAAACCCATGTGAGTGTATTCAATTCATAGTTAAATAAGAGTTTAGACTAAGGATACACTTGAAGGTGATGATAAGTGGGATTGACATGTTACATTCACATTAATTTTTGAAGAATAATCAGATTGAATTTTTTTAAACATTTTTTATATATTATATCCATCAAAGTTCTGAGTTATTTTTAGCCGAGATTCACAGTAAGGACTTGAATCCACCAACTCCATGAAGCAATATATGAAGTCAACTTCTACAAATTGTTCTTGATATTTTTCCAGATTATTTGTATTAGTATGAGTCACAAACAGCTGCAAGACATACATCTACCTACTGTTTGTGTCTTTCTATTTCAGGAAATAATAAATATAGTAACAAAGTGGAAATATTTTGAATTTCCACTTCTGCAACATGGCATTTAGTTTCATGGAAAACACAGATTAACATTTTGTCTTCTTTCCATTTCTTGGACTTGGGAATTCAAAGTGATAACAAAGGGTGAGAGAAAGACTTATGCAATTATGTTAAAATGAAAACAGTTTATTTTGACATTTCAAGAAATGTAACTAAAAGGAATGGAGGTCCCAACAAAACATAACGAATTTGACCTACCGACTACCATTGACCTAATCTTTACCAGAGTTCATTATCAGCTTGCTTTAAATCTACATGAAAGGATAAAATATAATATACTAAGTCTCAGATTAAACTGTAAACTTCAAAGGGTAATTTGAGCTGCCATTAGCATCCAACATCAGTACCTTTGTCTTCTGCTATTCAGTACAAAAAAAAAGAGGTCAATACATATTTTTAATAATGTATTGACTAAATGTTTAATAAATATTATTTATTAATAAATGTTCTCCTTCTACTCTAAAAAAGAAAGAAAGAAAAGGAATTGGTAAAAACGAGCAAACAAAGCAACCATCAACTGAATCACGGCTGAATCATGGCTTCTCATGTATATTCCTAGATGCGGCCAAAAACAAAAAAAAAAGAGAACACTATGGAAAAAGAAAACTACAAACACTTGTTTATAAACTACATCTCCATTCATTCTGCTCTAAAGGACTTCACATCGACTTTGGTGGCATTTTTTTTGTTGAGGGGGGGGGGGGGGGGGGGGGGGGGGGGGGGGAGTGGGGAGTGATAAGAGGGTGAAGTCTGATTTTGGAAACTGCGTCCATGGTACAGCACACAGTAAGAATTCATGACTGGATTTAATTAAGAACCATGAAGAAGGGGAAGGACGAGAACCTTTCCACACTGAGTCGACTGCTGACCTTGTTCTCTGGTGTGAAGGAAACTGAGCTCATTAAATTCGGACTGATTGTAAACTAAAGCTAAAAATAAATCTGAGAGAAGGTGTTTGGTTTAAGACATCAATGACCAAATATACATTTACAAAAGGTACAAAGAGCATAAAATACATTAACAAAAGTCAAGGAAATACATTTGCAAAATGTACAAAGGTTAAGCAAATACATGACTTGTTGATATCCATGGCAGTAGATGAAGTTGGAATTCAGGTAGTCACACTGGACAGCAACCAGACAGCCAGAAAATGACATCAGCTGAGGTGTCCAGAATCATGGCGACGGTCCAGGAAATCCAAAATTGTTGAAAATGACCGCAGCGTCCAAAATTGTTGAAAACGGCCAAAACATTGTGTACGACGACGCAAACGGGCGATCAAAATTGTGGAGTTTCAATTATATAAACTGCCAGTGAAATTAAAAAGCTATGTTCCTCGGAGACTAGTTAATGGTCACACTGAGAAATAAAGGACAGGAGACAGATGGGCATAGAAGCCAAGAGGAACTTTACCCACTACTGCACATCGGCGTTTTGACATAGCAGCCAAAACAAGACATGCCCACAGTTCAAACTAAGCTGACCTTCTCTTCAAAGTTGAGAACAACATGTCAGTCTAGCACTAGTTCAACATCTGGTCCACCACACACAGATTTGAAAGTATACATTGGAGAAAGACTGCTTCCTGTCTATGGCTCCTGCTCCAAAATACAGATTCTACTGCCTTTAAACTCAAGACAGGAAAAACAGAAAGGAAACAAACAAGACAAAATTCAGGTGGCAAATGGCCACCTGAATTTTGTTGTGTGTTTGCTGGTACTACTATGTTTCACACAGTCACACACACAGGGCACAGCGGCCACGAAGAATAAAAGAAAAATGACACTCCCTACTGTGTTGAAGATCTTCAGGATGATCAATCTTGAAAATAAACAAAAACAAAATTTTGGAATTAACACAATTTGTCAAATAAGTACTCTTACTAAAAAGAAAACCCGAGTTTGCCTCCACAGATCACTCACCTTTTTTCCCCAGTTTCAGGAGTCTACTTTGATGCTGGTCTCTGTGCGCAGAAATCCAATCTGTTGATTTTGAACAATGTTGATAACAAGTTTAATACTATGTAAATAGTTGCTTTAAGAGATTTACTATAAAACACACTCAGGTTGTAACACTAACGTGTGTCGACAAATTAACACATTCCCCAAACAAATTCAAAAGTAGCTCAGCGTTTTTTAAATTAGTTTCAGCAAAACAGTAACAAAAAAGGTTAAGCTATTTAGCTACAGTAAACATAACGAAAACACCAACAGTACGGGGGAAACATTATCCAAAACGTTCTTACCTTTCTATCTCAGCCGTTCATCCGGACCAGGTAGAGCCGCCATTACCGTGCAGCGTGTATTCGTGCACCTGTGATTTTAAAGGGGAGCGGCAAACTTTTTCGGCGACTCATGTCACATGCCGCGGCTCGTTCGCGCAACGCCCCCCTGGTATTTTGAATCTATTTTTTAATAAACCTTAAAAATGAAGGCATTAAAATAAACAATAATCACTTGTTTTAAGTACGAGTGTGTTTAAAATGCACCATAAAATGTCATATGTAATGTAAATTCTTATATATATATATATAACTTCCACTCGGTTCATTTCGCCACACCTCTTCTGTGCTGCCGGGGCGTTTCGATGCTTCTGGGGAGCGTTTCACGTCAGCAACAACGCAGCCAATTGCTTGACCTGTTTCTGAGGTGAAAATGCGCATACAGACAGAAATGTACCCAATCAGCGTTGTCGAATCTGATAGCTTACAGGCACCACAAGGGGTCACTGGTAACATTCAACAGCCTTGAATATTGGACAGACTGATTAGTCTGTGTTGCCCACATACCCTCAGTAGCAAACTGTTGGGGTTGGCTCCAGCCCATGCCACCCTAAAAACAATAAAGATAAAGATCAATCAATAAAATAATCCTCCTCAACTCAACTGTATAAAATCACTCTGTGTTTTTATCCTTTTCCTGAAATAAGTTTTAACCAAAGCCATTTTTATTCTTTGGCAAAATTAGATCACTCACTTCATCACAGTCTTCCAGCAGCTAACTTATTTTACCTGATTCAGTCATTTTCTAATGGTTTCTCTGAGAGAGAACCAATTGTATTGTTCATTAGCAATATGAATAGCGAGTCAGTAATTTCCTATGGATTTGGTTCTTCAATTTAACTTAATGTTTTAAAGTTCCAACTTTAAACAACAGTGTATAAAACTTTAGGTTTATAATGTTGGTATTTTTAAGTCCTTTAAATAACTTTTAATGAAAGGGGGAAAAAAACACAAAATAACTTTTTTTCCCATCAGTTTCTGTTTATTATCAGGTATAATATTTTGAACATTACAAAGAATGAGGAGAGATTAATGGTACACTTTTAAATGACATGTCGGGATTTTACAACAGTCACAGTCACACTGGGAATGCATGACATCGGATGGATATTTAGGAAGACTTAGGGCAATCCCTGATTAAGTAAACATTTGTTTCTCATTCAAATCTATTTTTATTTCTAGATCAGTGTTGAAAACGACTGCTTTCCTCCATTACTTTCTTTAAGCGATTCATTTTCTTGTAACTTGGCTTCAATACGGCTAAATACTCTTTGTTGCTTATGCTCGTCTTCACTCAGCAGGATATCAATGTCAGTCCTGTATTTGTGTGGTATTTTATTGTGGTAAGTTTCCAAGAAGTTTGTAATCTTTCAAGCAAATAGTATTTTCCAGGTTAGTGGTTGTTTGAGAACCATCATCTCAAACTTCTATTTTGCTCTCACCTTTTCAGGGGAATGTATGAAAGCAATAAAAATTAAAAGAATCCAGAAAAGGATCTCAGTTCAAACAGCAGATTAGTTTACTAAGGTGACAGTTGAAGAAACAGCTGGAATGGGACTAATGACTCTCACTAGAGGAAGAGCCACGGGAAGTCAAAAATCAACCATCACGCTGGGCCGGAGCTGCAGTTCCATAGAATAGAACCCAGGCATCGTAAACAAGCTGCAGCAAATCTACACCCAGCTGAGGACCAGGGTATGAAACACCTGAAGCACCTCATCACTAATCAACATGTCCCAGCTGCTTAACAGCATGGAGCTAAAAAAAAACAAACTAAAAATAATAAATAAATAAATAAATAAATAAATAACCTGATAGATACAATAATAAATACATTAATAAATAGCCTTGGTCATCAAAATATGTGCATGGAGAGATTTTGCAGACAGTTTTTCCTGTACAGTGCCATTCATCAGTCATTGACGTAGATACAGTAGACACACGTACACACACACACACACACGAGCAGACTTGTGATTAGCAGAGTGCACAAAACCTCTCAAACAGGGGAAAGAAGTGAAAGAACATCGTACAAGGTCGAGGACAGCGCTGTAACCATGTGACGTCCATTTCCAGAGACGGTTCTCTTCTTCCTTTGAGTCCCTCCTGATGCATCATGCAAAGGAAGCCTCCTGAAAACTACATGGTGTACACAGTGCATAGTTTACAAAGCCATAATTCACATAAAACTATACAGAAATAAAACCTATACAGTACAATTATCATCATTAAAAAGTTCCTATTTCAACTGTAGATCTTTTTGTTCTCAAATAGGTTGATCACTATGCGTTCTTGACAGGGAATTATCTGATGGGGGGAAGGGAGGGGGATGTAGAACTGGGTCCTCATTGTGTCTCCTACCAAGCTTTTAGGATATAAATATTTATACAGTATATACTGAATTTTATATGATATACAACATTTGGTCGTTTCGGGGTAGCGGAGATAGAAAGTGCTATCATACAGCAAGATCTGTTCTTTGGGTTCCACCAAATAAATGGACTCGTTGCCTTGTCAGTTTGGATACTTGTGTTTGGAAGCGTGAAACAGTGATACTAATTTTGTAGTAATGTGCTCTTGTCAAAATCATTTTTGTCCTCTTTGATCCAGGCTGTGTTGAAGAGGAGTGCAGTCATGGGTTGAAGAGTTTGACACCTGGACTTAGCAACACTGTCGGGGGGTTGATACAGAGACACTTTAACTGGACAGAGCAGAGCTCGCTTTTGTTCTCCTTCCCACAGCAGCAGTTCAGAATCCAGGGCTGTCGTAGCTGCTGTGACTGTAGTAACTGTGGTGACTGCGGGAGCGACTCCTGCCGCGGCTCCAGCTGCGGCTGCGGCTGCGGCTACGACTCCAGCTGCGATTCCTGCTCTGACTGCTGCTTCTGCTGCGGCTGTCGTGGGTGGTGGAGACCGAGCAGGCGGCGCGCGGCTGGACCGTGATGGGCTGCTGTCATAGCTGGATGAGGAAGGACTGGGTCGGTAGTATGGGATCGGTCGCTTGCGTGCACTTAGGAAAGAGAAAAAAAGAGGCAGAGCATTAGGAGAAGCACAGCGTAGAAACAGTTGGGTCTGTTAAACAATGCTGATGTAGAACACTTGATGCATCAAAGGTCTCGTGTGAAAGATTTAGTAGTAACTAATATCTGCAGTTCCCTTTTCTAAACACAATTACAACAAGTACAATTGTAGTATTTGCATCCAGTGAATATAAAGAGTCTCCAGACTGAATTTGCTCATCCTCATTACTCTGTGTATTTATTAATATCCATAGGTATGAGTTTTGCTTTTTACCATAGTAACTTCTACTGCGTATTTACAGTGGGTTAGACTAACGCAGTAACAAGGAAATTAAAAAAAGAAATTCAAAAGGAAACACCATTCCCTATTTTGTTACAAATACTCCATGATACAAGTACATCTAAATGTTTCACACTGGACCTTTAGATCAAATCTGTTAAGGTGATTAAATAGGTGGCAGATTAGTGCAGAATCTGGAAGAGACACACACACACACACTCTGTGTAGCATTAACGTACTGGGTTTCACAAAAGATGTTGCTGCAAGGGCAGACACCACAGCTAACGAGCTAACGTTAGCACAGACAAATTGGTACAGGCCAGCGATGTAGCCAACTCACAAAAGACTTAATAACAAGGTAACGATAAATATGGATGGAAATAATTTATATATATATATATATATATATATATATATACACACAGTAGAAATATATATCATTGTATATAACATATATCCCTTCCCTATGGCTATATATGTCTATTTCTTGATTGTTTTCTGTTTTACAACATTTTGCAACAGCTAGAAATTAAATCATTATTTTGTTACGATATGACAAAAAGCTTGTATGAAAAATCCTAGGAAATGAATAATAACACACAGATAAACACACACTCGTCAGAAAGATGATTGCATTGTTAGTTAGTTTAAGGATTGATCACAGATTGCTTTGTTAATTGCCACTCCAAGCGCTCCCTGTAAGAGAATTAGCTGTTAGTTCCCACAAAGAAGCTCTTCCTGTGAGGGGAGGCCAACACCCAGAAAAGTCAGCAGTCAGAAGAGCAGCGAAAGAGGAGCAGCATCAAGGAGCAACTGCTGCTGCTGCAAAGTCTGTTCCACATTGTTATTAGGTAGTGTCGCAAAATTCTAGTTGATCTATATACAGTGAGCTCATGACGATATAAGAGCATCAGCGCCACACTGAGGAGACAAAAATATCTAAAATGACTAGAATAAAAATGTTCTCTCATAAACTTTATTCCCGTGAACTTCCAACATTATCCTTGTACATTTAATTTTTTATTTATTTTTTTAAAAATTCTCAGTGTGGCCTTAATACTCCATCGTAGTAAACGCACCTTGAGCATATTTGAATCTGTTATCTCATTAGTACATAACCACAGTGGGGGGCAGTATTAGTTTCTGTGCTCAGATTAGAGGGAGAAGAAGATGAAGTGAGTGGAGGACGGCAGAAAGGGGAGAGGAGGAGAGAGAAGGAGGCCAGGTTTACTCAGGGGAGCACTGATGTTCAGCCCACTTTCAGGAGCCAGGACTACACGGTTCGTGCTGCAACTGTAACCATGGCAACTGCAGCGGCCGACTCCAGCAGCATCTGGTTGTCCTGGAAGCTGGACCTTAAGGACTGGGGTGAAAGATGACAAGATACAAATGCCGTCGTTGCTGTTGAACACCATCTCATTTGCTGCCCACAATTGTGCTTAAATATTTATTTCCTTCTAAACAGGACCAAACTGTTACTTTAGCTTTTTAGTTTTGTATTGATTACTGATTACCACTGATCGTTCACTGGGAGAATCCAAGAGGTATAGAAGTATAAAATATTAAAAGTATAAAAGTGCACTTTCATGGTTAAAAATGTACTGGTAAAATAGGCAACAATATGTATACATTACACAGGCGTTGTCAGAGGTTAAGAAAGGTCACCTACGGAGCACCACAGGGTTCAGATATTAGACCAAAGATTTTCATATTGTATATAAATGATATGTGAAAAACTAGTATTCTTTTGGTTCAATTTTTGGTTCATGTGGTAAACATGAATAAATTAGCCAAAAACAGGCCAACACCGTAACAATGTGAAACAAAGTTATATTTCCATCACAGGTTTTCTAGGTCATCTATTCATTATCTGGCGTTACCTGGTAATCCTGCGCGCTTCCATGAAGCTGGGTGAGTCTCTTCTCCTTTTCCGAATGGGTGAGTAGCTGCGTGAGCGACGACGAGCCCTGCTGTCAGTGTCAGAGCGGTTTGGGCTGTCCTTCTCCCTAAACATCAACACCAGGACATCAGGGCAGCATTAGCACAGAATAAGGACAAAGTCGAGTGTTGAGTGGATAAAGTTGTGCAGATGGACAGAGAGAGTTTCACCTGGAGTGATTATGTTTGTTGTGGGGGGATTTTGTTTTGCTGGCTCCTCTGTCTCTGGAAGTAGAGTGTGACGATGAGCGGCCACTGCTCCAGGAGCTGCTGCGCTGCCTGAGGTTGGCTTTGTTTCGAGACTCCTCCTTCTTCCTTCCTGATGTGTGAGAGTGTCGTCCTGGGGATGCCGATGGACTGCGATGGTGCGCCTGACCACGGCTGGAGCGCCGCTGACGCTTAGACGAGTGGCCACCTTTTGTCCTAAAATGATTATTATATAATTATATGATATAGTTGCATTAATTCAATACATTTAGGAGTATATATTTCCAGAAAATATTTTTCACCTTCACACATCATTTAAAAAATATTTAGATCAGTGCTCTTTTTTTAGCTTCATCTCCAAACTGTTCCTGCCACAGACTGATATGAAGATCATTGAAGTTTGAATTTTGTTTTAAACAGTATTTGTAACATTTAAAATCTAACCAGATACATCAAGGTTTTCATATAAAGGCTTACCTTTTGCGGTGACGTGAGGTCCTCTTTCTGTGAGTGTGGGTGTGTATGGAATGGCCTGAGTCACTGCTGTGGGCAGGAGAGTGGGAGTTCTTATTCTGGCCCCTTTGGCTCCCTCTCCTCCCTACTGTGTGGTTAATGGAACTCCCCACAGCTGCATCCACACCACCAGCCTCTCCAGCTGCACATGTCAGTCCTGTTTGGCTTCTGTTGGGGGCGCTGTGGAGCTTACGCTCTCGGAGCAGAGCGGTGGTTGCGATGCATGCAGAAGTAGACAACTGATGGATCTTCTGCAGAAAGATGATGTTCAACAAAGGAAAAAAAAGAAGAAAAAAAAGAAAAGCAGCAAAAGAGCATTAGAGAGTTTCCAGGTCGGTGATTGAGGTCTACGGTGTACTTGCCAAAAGAAGGTAAACATCTAAAAGAAAAAAATATAGGTTTTCTCCATATGGCTTATAGATAGTCCTCTATGGTGCAGCGCATGCAATACTTGGCATGCAAAACCATAATGAGTAGAAGAGATCAGAATTGCAAAACCAAAAAAAAAGGACTAGGAGAAGGAGGAAGAGAAGAAGAAGAAAAAAATAAATAAACTGTGACCCAAATAAGTGTAAGAGCAGAGCCAGAAAGTACAGAGCTACAGATTGTGTGTAGAAATTAAAGAGGACTTCTTTCAGTTTTTTTTTTAAGTAATGATTTAAAACAAAAAAACAAAACAGAAAGAGAAGACAACTTGACAGAACATCACAGAAATGGAAGGAACAAAATAAAGATCACAATCATTGAATCAATCGAATCAGTAAAACAAATCGTCTGCTACTCAAATTTCTCTTTCTGGATATTTTTCCTGACGACAATTGCTGAGATGTGAACAGCGACCCATTTTCTTTCTTTTACTGTTTTAATGGTTATTCTTGATTAACTCCCTTCTGGTTAACATCCACTTACCAATAAAGTGGTATTCCCTCCTTTAGTAGGTAAGGTATGAAGAAAAGGGAAAAGTGGGGCAACATAAGTGCATCATTAGATTCACAAAATGCAAGAGAAAAAGACACAAAACCCTTCCCTGTCAGTGACTCGTGAGACTATGCATGGAAAACAATGGAGAGAACTTAAAAGCAAAGAGGAAATCCACAATGTGCAGGGAGTCCTTCACACTGAGAGCAAATCCTCCAGACGCCGTCTCCTGTCTGAACATCAGAAAACAACTAGCTGCTGCGAGGTAAAAGTCTGCCTCGCTTTATGGAATCTACTGCAGAGCTTAAACACAGCTGAACCTTCAGTGACACACAGTTTTTTTACAAGAGGTACCAAGTGATGTCAGAGTTTTACTTACTCTGCCCCAGGTTCAACATTTCATATCAAAACATTGTAGTTTTTCACAGATAAAAAGTGACAAAAATGCTACAGTGTAAAACTGAATGTAATAAACAACAGGTGGTATTTTGGTTTATGATTAGTCCTGTTGTTTGACTTGTTTCATATGAATTCAGTAATATAGGGGAGGGCTGGCATTGGTCTGTTTGTGTGGATTACCAAGACAAATACAGATTTTCTTTAATCATTCAACTTGGCTAAACAGGTTAAAGTTTCTTATGTATCCTCGAATCTAGAAGCCAATCACAGCTACTAGAGTGTACACCCACAGACTATCCTGGTCTTCATTTAAAGAATGAAGTAAATTAGGATTTCAAGATGTTTAACCTTTGTTTTCAAGTCAGACTGCCTGAATTTGATAATCTATATTCCTAAATGTAGCCCCCAGCTGGACTGCTGCTGAGCAGGCTAGCTGTCAATCACAACTTATTTGCCAAAGAAAATAGTTTAGAAGTTACAGGAGATGCAGCCTTTTAAACCTAAACTGTTCCCCAGTCCCAGGAGCTTTTCCCAATCTTCCTTCAGTGTCAAAGATAGAGACTTCGCATTAGCAGGTTTTTAACAACATGTTAAAACAGAGTAATGCCAGCCCTGGTATTTAAACTGTACTCTGTAGATGGGTTATTACATTAGATTTCAGGGGCTGAAACATGACGCACATTCATACATAGCATAGATCTTTGGTCATCTTGACCAAATAACTCCAGATGTATTAGTGTTAGCATTAACGGAGAGTTCTGAAGTACTACGTTTTCAATGGTCTAGGAAAACTCCCCATCTTAAATTTATAGAGAAAGGTTTCTCTTGTCCAAGGGCAATTATTAAATATTATAAATGAAAACCAACCACTGGTGCTTATGCCAACTTTAGAAACAGTTGTGTCACTCAATATGGCAAAAATCATAGGACAGATGTACCAATTCACCAAGAGACAAGAGAGATGTTAACAAACAGCAATGCAGTCTACAGTACCAAAACAGGAAGAAAACACAAAATAGACCTGGAAGATAGAGCGGGATACTGGACTCCAGAGTGTAGATAAGGAGGAGAGAGAAAAACCAGAATTTTATATGATCCCATCTTGAAAGAGTCAAATCATATTTGATGAAGTCAAATTAAGTTGGTAAAAGACCACGGGTTAACAGGAGGGGAAAGAGAGAGAGAGAGAGACAGAGAGAGAGAGAGAGAGAGAAAAAAAACTCAGCCATAAGAGAGAGTAAAAAGTAATAATAATAAAAAAGAGAGAATAGGAGAAATAGAGAGAAACATTGACGTCACTCAGGCTAGGGTGCTTGTCACATTCTCATCTGCATAAAGATCACGTGCGTAGGCAAAGCATTACCTACCTTCCATTTCAATCAGTGACACGTATGCAATATCAACAAAAAAGGAAAGAAAGAAAAAAGAAAAAAAGGAGAAAGGAATGTTCTCCGCAGCGAAATGGGAAAAAGACAATGACCTGTTTTAGTATCAAAGCTACATTTTCAGTCCAGAGACCAGGTAAAACTAAACAAACCAAACGTGGAATGAAAAGAGAGAGGGGAGCAAAGAAAAATCCACATGAAAACTAAAAACAAACCAAAATTAGAAACAAAGGATGACTCTAAAAACGACACGATCTGATTGGTCTTTTTGACTTGTATAAAAAACAAACAAACAAACAAAAAAAAAAACTCAGCCATTTTTGTAAATTAAACAGGGAGGGAATGGAGGGTGGATAAGCCGATAGAAATAGTTGTTGTTTTTAGTGGACATCCATATTGAGCAGAACGGAAGAAGAGGGTGAAGATGTGAGGGAGGAGCATGCACAGGGGTGGCTGGTATTTAAAGGCATGAAGGGAGAAAAAGAACGGACAACAAGAGTTAGAGAGGCGGGTCACACAGGACACGGGTGAACAGGTGGTAGAGGAGGACAAAGAGGAGGAGACGTGGAGAGAAGAGTGATGGGGTGGGACAGTCACTGCTAAGATGGACATTTAGGGAACAGTCATTGCATTCAAAGCCGACCCGGTCGAAGATTTCATTTGCTGCAGCAAGAATCTTTACTTTTAAACCAGCACTCTGTATTAATTCATGAGCTGCAGGTGATGGCGCCTACAGTCTACGCTGTGGACGTAGCTATAAAGCTGACAGAATGGGAGAGAAATGAAATGAAACGTTTCTCACTTCAGTGGCTGCCACTTGTCAAAGTCATGTCAAACAAAGTCATTCTGAAATACTGTTGTGCTGCATAAACACAGCCTCATCAATCAGGGCTGAAAGCTGTGCGCATGTTCAATTACTGGCTGTGATATTGTTCCATAAGTCCTGACAAGTGCGACATACTGTATTGTGGGACGGTTTACACGAGTGCACCCCCTGCTGGCTCCTGTTATTACAACAAGATTTTGTGAAGAGTTTGTGGCCAACAGAGAGACAAGAAAAAAATAAGATTGATTCATCAAAAGTTCACTGAAGTTGGTTAAAAACGCTGCAGCTTTATGGCCATGAAAAACTTCTCCCTGTAGATACTTTATTATTGAATGACGTTTCACTAATGTGGGAGTTCTGATCCCTGATGTGATCTGGTGTTTGAATACTACACTAATGAGTGAGAGAACACCAGTCAGTCCGTGGCTGTGGGAGGATGACTCACCCTGTTGGGGACTGTGTGGGTGACGGTTATAGATGCTTCAGAACGACAGACTTTAAGTAACAGCATACGCGCTGATCAGATGCGTTAACATGACCAGTTATTTCGTAAACGTTTGCAAAAGCAAATCATGTTTGATTAATGAGGGTCACTTCACAAGAACTGTCTGTCATTTCTGTAGATCAACGACAGAATATGTTCATTTACCTTCTTAAAATGAACACCAATGTATTTACACTATTTACTGCCCGCTAATAAAGAAATAAAAAATCCAAAATGCGAAGCTGAATCATCACCCCACCGTGCACCGTCACATTCCACTGACCCTCATGAATAAATAAGGGTCCAGTATGAAATCCTTACAGAGCGTTACATTTGTGAGTTGTTCATTTTTGCACACAGCCCTCTATGCAAGAATTGTCATTTTCTACTTGAGTCTTCCTCCACCACTAAAGCATGGTTCAGGTCTGCACTGTTCAGTCACTGTTCAGTCTGAGATGGTACATAGGTTTTTCAATAACGGAAGTTACAATAAACAACTTTTACAGGTAAATCAGACAAATTCAATTAATCCTAAAATTCTGCAAAGATTTTGGTAATAAAATACTGATGCTCTAAAAGGGGAGAAATGATGCACAGTAGCCTCAGCAACAGATAATAAAGGGACCTGATGATACATAAAGATAAATAATGGCCATCTAAGGACTAATGCATGTGGTTGTGGTGAAGTAAAGCTGTAGAGAGGTGTGCCTCTGTTTAACCCCTAGTGTTGTGTCAAGAGCTGGTGGACGTCTGGAGGAAAAAGAGTATCTATCACAGAGCAGAGCGTGTGTTTGAGAGGAAAAGAGAGCCGAGAAACAGAAAAGGAAACTATTACACATACCCAGGTTAACCTACGTGATCCAGCTCCAAAGCATTTGTCTGCTTTTTATATGAATGAGACAGAGAGATTTGGGCATTTATTCATAGCAGAACACCATTTAAATTAAACAAAAAGGACAAAAGAAACAGTAATGACACAGACAGGGTAAAGACATGCAGCCTGTCTCAGGAAACAAGATTGGTTGATTAGAACGAACAGCCACATCATTAGGTTTTTCTTTCTTTCATTGACTGTTGGTGGTGACACTTATGTAGCCTTATGTTAGGGTTTCATTCCATTCATTCGATATTGATTGAAGGATCTATTGTATCAAAAAGGCCAAATAAAAAAAATCTAGCAAAATAAAAAAAAAAAAAACTTCAAATCAAAAGTATTTTTGTGAGCAGTGAAAGCCAATTAATCATTGTCAGCTCTGCCATACTGTGAGATTATTTAAAAACACTGCAACATTCTGCACTCACTTTCTTTCTATAACACTCACTGTTTTAAGCAGATGAGTGACTTATGTGTGATGCTTTTTATAACAAAAACAAAAATAAAACCCAGGATCGTAACTCTGCTCTCATTTCCAACGGCTCGACTGACTGTGCTCTAAAACTCATAAAATATATATATGTTTGCACTCACATCTGAATGCGTGTAATGAAAAACAAATATCATTAGGGTTTCATAAAATGTAAAATGGTCGTATCATAAACGCATTTCCTAGAAAACGAGATACTTCAGTACAAGTATAGATACTTCATATAAGACTAAGGGATAAACTGCAGGCATCGTATTACATTGTATCTCATTTTCTCCCTAAATTTGAATTTATTCAGAAAGCTGTGCTACGGTGATGTTCATTTTATTTATACTATGTTTCTGTCTCATATAAATAATATAAATATAAAAATGATGTCATTACACAACACAACAATGGCTAAAAAAGACTTACCTGCAGGGTTTATATATATATGTGTGTGTATGTTTATTTCTTCAATAAATCTTTTAATTTAATGGTTCGTCATGATGTTTTTGTAGAAACTATTCTAACGTGTTTTTGTCCTGTTTGTCTCCCTCTGTGTGTTGTGTTAATATGATGCACTAAATCAGTGTTTCTTTGTGTTGACAAACACCAGGACCCTCGGTTGTTACCAGCACACATTAAGAACAATTGAAAAAAACAAAGATGGCAGAAGATTTAAGCAAAGACAGAAGCAAAGCAGCAAGAGCAGCATGTTTGACACACAACAAATCTGCCTTTAAGTCCTCAACAATAACACTGACAGTGAGGCTGTCCTTGACAAAACTGATGGGAACAAAAGAGTTCTGTCCCAGAGAAGATAACAGCGACAACACAAAAGAGAGAGAAATGTTTTAAAGGTGGTGAATACTGTGGCAGTGGGGGAAAGGGTGAGTAAGACGGAAGAGATTACATACATCGTTCCCTTTCTCATCATCCACGTAGCTGAGTCTGCTGGCCTTGCCGTTGGGGGTTCGCTGGGAGAGGTTCCCGTTGTGCCACATGGTGGGGCTGTGGTGACCTGGGGACAGCGAGCTTCCTGGTCCCTTCGATCCATCTGTCTTGTGCTTGGAGCTTAGTCTGCAGGAATATAGCAGCACAACAGGGTGAGAGGTGAAGCAAGTGTTTGGACAACACTGGCACATCGGATATCGGCAAAAAGTTAATATCGGACATCCCTAATACATACTTTTTTTATATATACATATATGTATGCCTCTTTTATATACACATAGGAGAGACATGCAGGAAAAAATATTTTCCAAAATGTTTATTAAACTGTACTTTTTAACATAAGTCATGGGATTAACTAATTGTTTCCCTAGGACTAAAGATATGTCAAGGTAATTACAAAAAGTGGTTCCTTATACCAATCATTATTCTTACTAGTATCTTGTACAGAAACTTGGTACTTGTTTCATTATATATAATTAATTATCTGTCTGCCAGACTGTTTTCTTCCACTCATTCTTCAGGGTTGGCAGACGGTACCAGTCTGAGATATTTACTACTCTCTGTTACCATCACAGTCCCATGCAGTTTTCTAATGTAAATCTGTTTTCTAGTGAACTGCTGGTGCTCACATGCTGTAGTCCCTCGGCTGCATTGATGAATCCCAGCAGTACCAGTGTTTGCCAGAACATAAAGCGTGTGTAAAAGTGCATTTGTCTGGAGAGGTGTACCTGGCTGGAGACTTGGAGGTGCTGTGGGTGGAGGACACAGATGCACTGCGGGAGCTGCAGCAGCTGCCCTGATGCTGTGAACTCCTGCCAGGGGTTTCACCGGGTGACCTGATTGATGACACACACACACACACACATACATGGAATGAACATAAAGACACAGACAGACACATAAAGTATACATACATACATACATAGAGATATAGTATGTATAAAAAGACAAATGCAACAAGAAGCATAGAGATTAGAGATCGGAGCGGTTATATTGAGCACTCTCTGAATCTGAACTTGAAATAATGCCACTAAAAAAACAAATGAAATTCATAGTAAGCCATGTAAGACGCATCAGAGGGATTGAAGGTGAGTCTCACCTCTTTTTCTGTTTATTCTTGTCTTTGTGTTTGTTCTTTGGACTGGCCGTTCTGAAACAAACGTCACATGTGAGTGGACGAAGCGTTAGACATAATGGAAATCCCTTTTCGTAAAAACAGAAACTACTGTACCTGCCCAAATGGAAGCATTGTCTTTTGTGCAAAAAAGTACTCAATATGCAGAAATTACAATGGTGCACACACACACTTCACATGAGAACACCTCACATCATAACCGGAGGTGTCGGCAGTGATTATCATGTGAAAGTCGTACGGATCGTCCGTCATACACACCTGTATCTTCTCTTTTTCCCAGAGCCTGAAGCAGATCTATGAAAAAGCACAAGTGTCTGATCAATACCATGACGGCACCATCAGGGTACACTATACTATACTATACTATACTACACTATACTACACTATACTATACTACACTATACTATACTACACTATACTACACACCTGTAACATTTCAGGATGTGTTTGCCAATCACTCTACATTTTTCACACCCTTGGTTCATTTCAGGGCTGTTAAAGGATAACTTTTTTTTAATCAGATTGAACACATGGAAGCTGTGGATTCATGATGATTAATCATGATTAATTCATAATGACAAATATCAGCAGGGAGAAGTGTATGTTTTCCACCATTTTTTTTTATCGGTGACTTATCCACATGATGGAATTATTATGAAAGAAGAAAAACATACAAAATAAAACAAATTGTTTTAGTATAGACATCTAGTAATAAAGTCACGGCCAATTTACTGTAGGTGACTCATAACTGATGATACAACCTTGGGAACCGAGCATGAATATTTCAAATTATATTTCTGCATATTTAATATTGTGCATAGGCACTTCCTGTTTGTGAATCGATCTGTATCACATGCATACGTGTGTGTGACATTGATCTCTGCTCACTGATGCGAAGGAAGAATCACTAGCTCCAATCTGTCATGTTAGTCTCCACTGAGTAACATGGTATGGTCAACGTCTCTTGCTCAGTTCTCCTGCAGAGCTCCATCACCTTCATTGCAGTTGCCATGGCGATTAATCACACTGGTCTCTGAGAGTTGTTGCTACTATCCTACAGCACATCCCTCCTGCTGTGGAAGGTGCCTACAGCACAGGGTGTTGTGGAGTCACTGACAGGTGATAATAAGGCTGTGACAATACGGTACATGTCGCTGATGTATGAACAAGAGCTGTGGCCGCCACCAGCTGACCACGTTCTCTCAGTGGAGGGAATGCTCTATCGTCTAGGGCAGTGTTTCTCCAACTTTTCATACTCTGTACCACCTGAGAAAACACTGAGCTCTCTGAGTACCACCATGATGACCAACAGGTCTTCCCTGTTGGCTTCCACCACAGGAGAGATGTTTAGAAATGGTTATAAAGATGTTTATGTTTAAATTTTGTATTAATTTTGCATGGTATGTTTCAGAATTATTCAATTGAAAATGTAAATGTGGAAATATGAATTTGCCCCGCGTACCACTAGAGAGCGCTCGTACCACAGTTTGAGAACCACTGGTCTAGGGAATCGTCACTTTCAAATGTCCAGGCTAACGTGAGCTGAGTGCAGCTAAAGCAGGAAGCTGGGAATGAGCATGAGATTCTGTGGCGCAGGATAAATGAGTGTTAGAAAACCAGAGCGGGGCAGTGCAGTGAAGCCCATTCTTTGTGTGTTGTTTGCCCACAGGCTGGCTGGAATTTTTAGAGCAGGATATTACGCTGCAACAAAACTGAATCAGTGAGGCAGAATACAAGTCAAATTGCAGGAGGAAGTTGTCTGTTGGTACAGTTTATTGCAGTTCTCCTTTTTAATATTTCACTGTTGAATTTTGACCTCACATTTGATCATAATTCTGTGAAAATCTACACTTTACCTTTAGAAACTATGATTATGTCAGATTCCAGACTGAGGATTTTTGTTGTTGAAAACACTGTTTGGCACAGACGCATAAAACAATCACACATATGGCTGTAGTAAAATTTAACAATTTGTAACATTTCTTCCGCTATGAAGTACTGTCCAGCAGAGTGGCGCAGCGGAAGCGTGCTGGGCCCATAACCCAGAGGTCGATGGATCGAAACCATCCTCTGCTATAGGCTCATTTACAGTAATTTCTTCAGCGTGAATCAATAACTGAACCTATTACCCAAAGTCCTGATGATTTTTACCACTATAATAACTATTAAATACCATTATATTACTATTAATTAGATTAAGAAGAATGATGATTTTTTTCTCCTTTGTTTTACAAACAAAGGGTGCAACAAAAGTTCCACATACTGTATCAGTCACCCTCTCTGTCTCCCTTTGTCTCTCTCTCTCTCTCTCTCTTTTACTCTCTCACACACACACATGATGATAAACACTCACCTGTCTCGCTTGTGCTTCTTTCCACTTTTCTTCTTTTTCTCTCTGCGTGTGGGTGAGGAGCTGCCAAACCTTTTAGAGACAAATACCGAGGCACATTAAGAGTTTTCGTCTGTACCAGGTTCACAGCCAAGGCTCCTAAATTTAGGGTGTTTTCTGACTGATTTTGCTCGTTACGTTACACTAAAGTGAAGATGATTTTTAACAAAGATATCACTCTGTAAAAGCCTGACTGATAACTGAACTCCTCATTCGCTCTCATCCATAACGCTCAGTACTTTTTTTTCTCTCACTGACCTTTTTAAGAGAAATCAAACATTAGATTTTTTTATCAGTTTGTCACTGACTACTGTTTTTTTATCTTCTTCCAACTGTGACTCTAATGGAGTCCTTGTCACTGTCACAGCAGTAAAAAAAAAAATCAGTAAAGTCTATCAGCCTCAGTATAGGCATTCTGCTACAGAAGCTATGAAAATAATCATGTTGAGCTTTAGAAACCTCTTCACTCACCTACTCTTCCTGTGACCAGATTTCTTCTTCTTTCTTTTCTTAGGACGGGGTGAAGGAGAACTGCTTGACTTCCTCTTTACTCTGAATCAAATATAGACAATAATCCATGCAGTTATGATGACAGTTATTTAGCAACACAACACAGAAACTCTGCATTATTACAATTTCATATAAAATACAGCTCCAAGTACAAACAGGAAACAGATTTGGAAAATTATTTTTTCATATTTTCCTTCATGACAGCTGCTCAAATCTAAATTTGTGTGGCTGACCTGCTATCACTGCGGTAGTCACGGTCATAGTCTCCGACGTCATCCTGCCCATCTTCATACTCATCACGCTGATAGTGCAGGTGGTTCACCCTGGGGGCACAAAGGTTAAGGATTAGTAATTCTCCGTGTCGTGTTCATTTTCACTGTAAATGTTGCATAAACCAAGCCTCAGATTTTATGGCGTTTACTTGTTACTGAAATGCCAGGCTGGACACATATGAACTGTCTTAGGCTAATATATTTAAAGCATTCTGCTAAAGATCTCCATCATAATTACAAACACAGAATAAAACATGAAGCTGACACATACTAACAATATCTGTAGTTCTGACGATTGGTGAATAAATACGTCATGCTCTCAGCCTTGAACTGTAACCTTACTTAGTTACAGTATTGAAGCACCAAAGTTTTTCCAGAGTTTTTATCTTTCTTCACCACAGCTGCGAATGACAACGTCATCATCCTCCACGTTCTGACAGCTCAGCTGGTCGGACAGAGCTGTTCTGGCTTGTTCTTCACACGAAGTGGCGTGAACGTGTATCAGGACAGATGGCTGCTGACGTCTTCTGAATCATCATTATCACTCACTTTATAATGATTTCATTGATATAATTATGTTTATAGTCATGCCTCAAAGCAGTGGTTCTTTTTGGTCATTTGGCGAAATAAAAAAACATTCATTAGTCAAAACATTTTTGCAGCAATGCAGCAGGATATGAAGTCGTTATGAGCACTTACACTGGTTGTGGGTTTGAACCCTCTCTGGTGATTACGCCTTCTTTGTCCATCAGCATTTGTCTGAATGTGCTCACTTTCTGTTGTATTTCTTCCTCTGTGTACCTGAAAAAAAAACAAAACAATTAGACCATAAGACAAGCCCAGAATTGCCATTTGTCAGTTTGTTAGTGTTAGCTTGAGAATGTGTCAAAATGTATATTTCACCATAAATGGTCATTCTATATCTGAACAATGACAGGGACCATCTGACAGTGCACTGAGCAAACACCTCAGTCACTGGAGTCAGGTAAATCCTGGTTAGTTTCTGCTTCATGCTACAGACCCCAGTGAGTCACACTTCAGTGCTGAACTGCACATCATGTCTGTTTCTGTACTGTAGGTGAGAGCGGTGTTACTCGCTGAGTCGATGAAAAAACTCGGAGGAAGACGGAAGAAGGTTAAACCAGCTGACGTAGACAGAAAACTTCAAACTTCTGCACAAACAAAATCACCACACCGTATATTTACAAGGATCATTTTATCTCAAGTATATTTACACTATTAGTAAGATTAGATGAGCAACACAGTCATCAGTAATGTGTTTCTTTTTTCCATTTTTCACTATCAACATGAACACCTTTTGTGATGTATGTATTTGACTAGAAGCAAACGTCTGAGAGAATGGACGAACAAAAAAAATGATTGAAAAGCCCTTGCTGCAACAACATCCTAAATTGAGATGTGTTTTTTTAATTCATTCATCATTTCCCTCTGTTTCAAAACAAGGAACTTTATCAATGACATGAACCACCGTCCCAGACCACCACAGTGAAGAGCTGTTGTGACACGTCGTGACTGTTTTTTTATTGGTATAAGTAACAATTTAATTTTGACATGTCAAACTGTCACGGTGGCAGGGATGTGTGAAATGGAGCTGTCTTTTTTTCTCTGGGTGCTGAAATGCAGATTTGGCGAAAACAATGGTCTTATCAGCAGCGTTCAGCACAGACAGCTCTGTAGACAGTGTGGTACCAGCAGTAGCATGATGTGTGTTTATTTTACTGAGTATAAATAAAGCCTCAGATGGAAGAATACAATAACACCAGTCTGAGCAGACCACCAGCACACTGACAGTGTAAGATAAGGAGAGGTGTAACAGGAAGCTCTTATGGCTGGATGACGGCCTGGAGAAAAGAACCCCATCAGTGTGACAACACCATCAGGTCTCACTGAAAGCCGGTCTCTAAACCCAGCAGCAGCGGCAGCAGTGGCAGCGGCAGCAGCAGCAGCAGCAGCAGCAGCAGTAACGGCAGTAACAGCTGAAAATTGCAGCCAGAATCCCTAATGAGAAGAGCACCTACATGAGCTGTTTCCTGACAGGCTGCCTTCAGCTGTCTTTTGTGGATGTGAAAAGGCTTTAAAGTATCTTAAAGAATGATACGGTGCTGAAAGGATAGTCTCTTTTCTCACACTGTGCTACTGTAGAGATAGAACCAGGGAGTGAGGGGAGGGCAGACCAACGCCTGCAGCTCTCTTTGTTGACACTGCATATAACAATGAAGCGTGAAGATCCTCGGCCATTGTTGTCTCATGGTGTTCAGAGGTCACTACTTATTTTATCTCCTATTTCTCAGGTTAAAAATAGAACGGCTTAAAACAAACCCAAAGCATAAGGCATCACTGCCCGAGGCACTGCAGATTTTCTTCTAGTTGGAAATTTGTTATGGCCGGCTCTGGAAAAGTTTCCTTAAGAAATCTTGTGTGACAAATTCACCAGATGAAATAGAAAACAACACAAAGTTAAATAATAAGAATGATAATAATAATAAATAATAATCATTCTAATACTATTACTACTACTACTAGTACTACTGCTACTATTACTACTACTAATAATAATACATTTCTCTTTTCACTCACTGAATGGCTCTTATACAGTGCATTCCATTTACCAACACATGATTATTTGTCCTTCTGTCCTTTTCTGGATTGGCTGCTATCCGCTAGCGCTGAGAACCCAGTATTCAAACTAAATAAATGTTAGGTACCAGTACTACCACATCACATTTTTCTACATTTGTTTATGTTTAAAAAGTTTCTATTATATGATAAATTACTAGATTATTAATATAATTATTAGAGTTGTTAGAGACAGACTTGATTTTTATGATAGGTTATCAATCGGACTAAGTGAAGAATATTGAATGCAGCTGGAAACAAAGCGTGGCAAACCTTAACAGCTCCACATTCCAGGGGCAGAATAAAAATGAATCAGTGCGTGCACCTGCCACAGAAGTTCAACTCTGAAGTGGAGAGAATTTTAATAGATGCTCTCCAGAGCCACACTCTGTCTGGTGAGATAACTGGTAGTAAATATAGCACACACTGGATTTAAAAGAAAGAGGATCGGATTCACCCGCAACGTACAAATGCCTTCCCTCACAGTAACAGATAGAGGATTGGATGAAGTAACCCGTTGGTAAGACTAACAGACTTATCAATGTGTATTCATACCAGAAGAAATACAGGTAAACATTACATTACATTAAATTACATTAAACCTGAACCTTGGTATGTAGCTAATGTTATAGCATGTCAGCAACGTTGACACGTGTGCTATTTTGAACCATTCAGCTGCTGTGCTGCTGCTCTAGTCAAACAGACAGACATCATGTTCAAATAGCCTGAGCCCATTTACAATATACAGAAGTCCACTGTTCTCAGCAGCAGGGGGGCTTTCAATGCACCAGTGCTGCTAGGTCCTGACATGAAAAGACTCCTTTAATTGCCAGGTCATTGTAATTGGCTCCCAGGGTAAGGCCATTATTCCTGACAGACAATTTATTCTGGTCTTATCACTGGGTTGGGTCAAGGCGGTCATCGAAACTGTGCCCAGAACTAATCAGGGGGATTAAACGGTGGCTCTAACCCTTGGTTTCATCCCCCAACTCTATCCTTTACCCTTGCACACGTGCATTCAAACTGTCATTAAGACAGACAAATTAGACGTTGGAGAGCAGGATGAGCGTGGTCAAGCAGAGCTGACCAAAGGAACTCTTCTTTAGTAATTCATCTTAACAAGATACGTTTGGAGTGGAGAAGAGTTACTGTAAAAGTCTGGATCCTCGTCCTCATTACCCAGCTGCTGCCTGCCTCCACACTCTTCTATTTAACCGAATCCCACATCACGGACAAGGACGCCTACTTCAGGCCAGGGGATGAGTGTGTCCTAACAGATGGTACCAGTACCCTTATAACCTCCCAACCCACTTTATTTCCAAACCGCAGCAGCTTCATTTTCAGCTGCTTCAGCCTGCGTTTGCTACAAGGTTAATGAGGCCCAACTGCCTGACAAGCCCAGCCACATCCAAGGAAAGACGGCAGTGAATACAACTGAGCAGAATACAAAACTAAAACATGTAGGACACATAATGTCACCAAACAACGGCTGCAACTGAGCTAAACATATACTTCTTTACAAGAAAACCCACTTCCATTAATAATAATGGAAAGAAAAAAAATACAATTTTCTAAATGATCAATTAGAATGAACCGGTTTTATATAATAACATCAGTCTCATCACAGCACTGTAGACCCTCAGAGGAGTCTAAATGTAACTGGTGTGGGTGGGGGGGTGTAAAGTTGGACTTGCTGTGACCCTTTAAACTAACACTGAGTGTAAGCACAGTCCTCGAGTTGTTGTCCACTGTTATATTTTTTGGAAAGATTTTTTTAAAATTTTAAATCAATTTTTTTAACTTTTAAAAATGAATTGACACAAATGTGTTTTGCTAATTTTTCAAATTGATTTGAATGATTCCAATATTCAGCAAACATTTCAGGACATTTTATGTATACATGTAGTACAATACCAATACAGCTGATATAACATCCTAGGTAAGAGTCCTCTTTTCATTCATGTGCACTGAAATTTTACAAAAAGGGAAGCGGTAGAGCAAGAACAATGTGGGGGTGGGACAATCGTAGGCTGTAGCTTCCTCAGTTTAACCAAAGTGCTGTTTCAGGGATGAAATGCTTCATATAGTAACCACTCAGGCCACCAGCCTCTCACTCCAGACTGTCCACTGAGGAGGACACGATCCTACACTGTGGTGCCAACAGCAAATGATGCCAATTATTGTTTGTGGAGCCAGCCAAACAGGAAGTACCCAGGCCTCTGCCAGAGTCCTCTCCACAGAGCCCTTCACCTAAAAGTGACCCGCTCCCTGGACTGAGGAGCCATTTTACACAACAACGTGCACTTTGTTTTAAACTGCATCATGTGTTGTTTATGTTTCATTCATATCAAAACTGCTAGATCATAAAAATATTTTTTCCCCACACATTAAAGATGTGTAAACATTTCCTTCTACTCACCCCTGCTCCTCCATCATCTCCTGAAGCTCCATACACTTGAGTTCTACCCTCCTCTTCCTCTCATGATCCAGAATCTCTCTATGTGGCTTTTTGACTAGGACCGGACCTGCTTGGGCCTCCTCCTCCTCTTCCTCCTCCTCTTCCTCCTCTACACCAAGCCGTGTCTCCTGAGTTGGTGCCTCTGAGGCTGCATTCGGTGCAGCTGGGCCCGGTCCTGTAGACGCTGCTTCTGCTGCAGGGAGCAGTGGCTGAGCCCCCCCATTTGTACTGTCCTTTGGAGACGGTACTCTGGCTACATCATACATGATGACTGACCCTGTGGAGACAGAGACAGAAGAGGATGAGTGATGAGACAAGAAGACAGAAAGTTAAGCAGGAGACCATGTAACAGCACAGTCATTTAAGTTGGAAAAAATATTGATATATTAAGATGAAAATATCTTTGGGCTTTTTCATTGGAAGTGAAATTGGAAGAAAATAAACAGGAAATAAAAGATGAAAATAAAAATATAATAACTGATAATAGCATCGACATGTACCCTGAGTTGATGACTCCCACTGATACCACATCCCTGACAGCAAATGAATCAGTTAGATATTTTACCGTCCTCTTAAGAACGTCAACGCAGTCCTTGACCTCCATCTTTTTCTCTCTGGCTTGTTTACTCTCTAAATGATGAGGTGTGCATTTTTGTCAAAGAAAAAAAAAGCCGTGTAGTAGAGTTGCTGCTTGGTCTGAGCCCTGATGAAGATGGATTGTACTGTTAGGGCCAATGTGGAAGATGCAGAAAGAGTGGGAAGACCTTCACGTGCCCATGAGCATCAGCAGACCAGCACCTCAGCACCACTACCGTAACAACTAATGTCTTCATTTTTCAAAGAGGAGCCCAAGAAAAGGCAATTTATCACTGTCACACACGGAGAAAGAAACGATAAGAAAGTACAGCTGGACTGAACTGCACAGCTACATTTACATCTCCTCTTTACATTAATACATCCCAGAGCACATACTGAACCAGCTCTCTGTGATGGAGCCGCACCAAAAGTCCTTGACTGGTTATTTGGGATGTCTGTTTTCACAGCTTTGTGAGCTGGTTACTGTGTGTGTGTGTTAGTGTGTGTGTGTGTGAGAGAGAGAAGGGGACAAGAAGACTTGTAGCTGACAGAACAGGTGGCTGGACAGCAGGAAGTGTTAACGCTGAATCCATTATACTAAAAATCAGCACTTGATATTCTGTGACAGCGATCTGTTGTCTGCACACGCTCATCTTCAGAGGATTGTGGGAGGAAAAGCCTGTCCAAACCCACAGAGAGACTTCAAATAAAGGAGAGACAGACAGCAATAACATAGATAACAATTGTTAAAGCACAAAGCCTGAGTGTCTGTCCAACCAGGTGGCAGCCACACACTGTACCCACAGCAGCCAGCAGGACAATTCAGGAGAATACATGAGAATACATGAGACTACCAACTAATCAAAGAAACCAGTCAGCCAGAGATTCAACTATTAAATATTCATCAAAGTGATCACAGAGGCATTAGATTGTCCTTTGTCACTGAAACATCTCAGATATTTGACAATTTAACTGATTATTTAAAAAATTACAATTACTGCAATGACATCGAACCAGGAAAACAGGCAAATACAGCGTTTATACTGCGTACTGATAGGAATGGTTTTGGGTTTTAATTACATTTTAACTACTTCAAAATATAGTTTACTGTTTTATACATTCAATTTTCATTTACTCTTTTCTTTTTATTTTATTTTTCCTAATGCCAAATGTACATTTATATGCAGGTGTGAGGGTGTAAGTGGGTATTTGTTTGTATGTAAATGTATGTTTTTTTGTGTGTATGTCCTGAGTGTTTTTAGGTTAGTATAAAAGGACTGAGCCAAATAATAATAATAATAATAATAATAATAATAATAATAATAATAATAATAATAATAATAATAATAATAATAATAATAATAATAATAATAATAATAATAATAATAATAATAATAATAATAATAATAATAATAATAATAATAATAATAATAATAATAATAATAATAATAATAATAATAATAATAATAATAATAATAATAATAATAATAATAATAATAATGGCGCTTTGGCCCAGAGGCAATGTCTCTGTCATTGGTGTGGAACCCCAGGGTTCACCTCCTGGGCAAGTTCGAATCCCGGTTAGGGCGGTTGGTACCTTCCAGTGGACTCACCACCCGCAGGAAGGTTTGGTACGGTGCAATGTGATTTGGGTGGCGACTGCTGCCCCCGCGACCCGGTAACGGATAAGCGGATGAAAATGGATGGATGGATGGATGGATGGATAATAATAATAATAATAATAATAAAATAAAAATAGAAAATACACAATAAAATGTGTTTTAGAGTAAAAAAGAATTTACTGTAAAAAAGAATTAATTTTATATATGTTCTTTGTGCTATGCTGTAATTTCTAATATAAATTTGTATGGTATGGTGTAATAATAATAATATTAGTTATTATAATTATTACTGGTGTTGTTGTTGTTTTTATTTTTGTTATTATGTAATCTGTAGCTTCAGTTTAAAGTAAACATTTTAAGTCTAAATGTCAGATGTGTTGACTGTGTGACTGTGTTGACTGTCTTTTTAAACACTGCAGTAGACCAGCTTCAAAACAGAAATTCATTTGGATCCACCTGACTGCCCTCTTTCTAATTTAAATTGATCGTAAGGTGATGCAGCTCGCCGCAATGAAAGTGGAAAACCCACACCAAGAGACCACATTATCAGATACTTGTCTAAATGGATTCCAATTTTACTCTTTACTCTGCAGTAAATGAGCAGAGATATATGTTGGTTTTATCTTCCATGGGCTATTTTACTCACTTAAAGGCTGCTCCCTCCTTCTCTCCAATCCATTGCCTGTCAGTGATAATGCTGCAGATCAATGGGTTTTACAGAACGGCTGGAATGATTGGCTGTCCCTCAGCTACACCTCATCCTTACAAGGCTCCATTTCTTTCATAAAGCATAAAGTAAAGCATATGTAATGTTTTTTTCTCTCCCACTAATATAAAAAAAAAAGAATATAAAAACTTTCAAAATTCACCATTGGCCTAAAAAAGTTTACAAAGATGCTGTTTTCCCCTCCTCTACGTCCAAAGCCTTGATTGCCTGCTGCTCACTCCTGTCCAACATCAACATCACCAGCAGCCAGCTTCTTTTGACTGCCGTGATGCAGCCTTAGCCAGGCTGATGAGCCATGAGTCTAAGCCACAGGCTAATTACACTGGGGACACTGAGGCTCTCTGTCACTTTGCTCCAGGCCAATGAACCAAATGATTCTGTTATTAAACCCCTGCCAGCTTAGAAAAAAAGTTTGGTTTGCTTTAGTTCACGTATGTCAAGCCAAATGTTTGTTTCTATAAAATAAAAATATAAATAAAAAAGAGATTTTTTACATTAACAAAAATTGACATTTTCCCTGTTATTATGGTAAAACATCTACTGATGGTCTAATAATTTGATTTCACAGATTCTTATCTGAATCCAAGTCCAAATATTAAAGAGAAATTTGAAGCAATGTAATGAGAAAAATGTGTTGCCATAATGGTTTCTGAGACATTGATTACACTCTAATCGAGGACTTCATGGACAACGTGGTAGAAAACAAACTACCTAATATTTGTCCAAAGTTTTAAAAAATATTAATAAAATGTTATTAGTACTAGTAGTTTTTGTGTTTTACACAAAATAACCATTAGTAACAGTCCTGATGCCAGTACATTTAAGGTCATAACAAACATCCAGCCTACTCTAATACTGAGTGAGTGATGAAGTCTGCATCAGACCATCTAGAAATCCATCTCGATGTTTCCCTCATAATGTACACTCTGACTGCAGTGCTACAGAGCGAGGTGGAACGTGAGCCTCGTAAATTATCCCTAAAACAGGCAGCTGTAAACGCATGAGTGTAAAAGAGGTCCTGTAGGTGCTGAAATGTCCATGGATATACTCTATATTTCAGATTTTTTACTCAGCTGCTGTTGTGTGAGGATGGGGGATGGAGTGTAATCTCTGGTGAGTGTCCACTAAAGCCTCATGGCAGTCTGTGCACTGATTAAAAAGCACTACATGACGCTTCACCACAGTAGAGTCACTGGGAAAGGTTTTTGTCTTTCTCTCCTGTACGTCCAGACACCAAGCTTTTCTCCTGCACAATAATGGCCCGACACTGTGTCCGTCAGAGTAAAGGAGCATTTTCTCTGCACTGAAGAAACACCCTGTGATTAACTGCTGTTAGAGGACAGGATGCTTCCCCTGCATCAAGGTCGTCCTGCAAATAGCTCTTTGGACAGCTGGGAAAAAAAGACATACCTTAAAATTGTAACTGCCCGCTGGACACTACAGATCAAACAGGGACCGGGGTCTGACACAGGAGGAAAACATTATTCTGGCTCTGACCCTGAGTGATAAAAAAAATGAAGAGAACTAAATAGTCGGGAAGAAACAACATCAAAATCGAGGACAATTCTCAACATCTGAGATTCACTGAATGAAAAGTAGGTGCAGTGAGAACACTTCAAGGACGATGGAGTAAGACACGTCTGAGATGTCCTCCTGTCTTCAGAAGTATTTTACAGCTTTCTTTGTCCTCAATATAAGAAAATGTTATACTGTGTGTTGTACTTGCATTTCACCAGGCTGAATTAGCAAATGTAAGATAGAATGTGTGCGCCTTATATGATGTGAAACGGGGAGACAACAGGTATTATTGCCACCTACTGTTTAGAACTGGAATAGGCAACACTGTTGATTTATTTGCCTTGGCCGTGACCCACTGAAAGCTAGCCTGAGACCCGACCCACCAGTTGAGAATCACTGTTCTAAATCATACAGATACAAAAATATCCGTGGAGTGAGAGGAGGGGAGAGTTAGAGACAAGAACACACTGCCACGATGACCATCATTTATCAGACGCACATCTGCATCACTGCCCTCAGGACGCACAGGCAGTCACCTTCACTCTTTGTAGCCCAAAGGCTAAAACAAAACAAACAAAAAGTGTCGGAGTGACACCACCTTCTCCTTCTTCCTACACTGCTTTGCTCCACATTTTTATCTCAATCTGCAGCTCTCATGTATCTCCAACCATGCGTAAAACACCTGGGCTATGGTGAAAGGCAGATAACATGAGACAAACCACACAGCCACAATGGTGCTCTGCCCTCGCTGCTTGTATTTCACATCTCCTGTGTCCATCTGTCAGGAAGTGGGCCATAAAGCAGCAGATATGCATGAATCAACGTAGGCTTCAC